ATAATTTTTATTTGCATTCAATTACATGGTCCAATATAAACATAAAAATATTTCGAAAATTTTTTAGAGTTATTATTATGAATAGTGACATTTTTCAGCACCAATTGAGGTAATTAGCACTTAAAAGGTAAAATATTTGATTTTTTCTAAATTGAAAGACAATTTTTCATCAAACTGATTTTTTATTTGCGCAAGATCATAGGAAATGTTCATGTGCAAATCTCTCTCTTTGTTATCTTCATCACATAGTAATGTAGTATTATCTACATTGATATGTATCAAGAATAGTAATGGCCCCAAAATGAAACCTTGGGGTATTTCAATATTCACATCCAGTGTACTACAAATATAACTGCTGGTCTTCACATATTGTTTGCCATTTTGTATTCAAACCAAAAAAACTATTATATCTTATTCCATAGACAAATAATTATCTTTCATTCCATTAAGAACAGTCCAAGTCCGGACTAACACCACTAATGAGACTTATGGCGAGATGCAACAGCTCTTTCTATTGATGGATCACAAATGTTTTGTTATTGGACTCTAGTTTCAACTAGTACAGTTGTAGTGAAAGATGGAGTATGATTCGCTTTCGGCAATCAATGTCAAAATTGGTTTTGCAGTGGATTGGAGAAAGATTCGTGAATTGAATTTTTTGTTGATCCCATGATGACGTTTTCTTATAGGGGCTATATATCGACGATTGTGATCTATATCATGTGAAATCAATAATGAACTTTCACCACTAAATGCAACAATTATGCGAAACAAAACCTCGAAATTATTTGCAGTTGATACCTACAATATTGATGAAAATATAATTTGTTCAAGATTTTATGTGTTGCTTCGTTTTCCAGAATCCAGCACATTTACCAATGCATGGATTTGCCTTTTGTCCACAATTTAAAAGAAGAAATGATGCAATATTATTACCCAACAATGTCCTGAAGGAAATTACTTTCGAGGTTATGAATTTACCAAATCCGTCTTCAGTTCATACTGGTTTTCAATGTATTATTGTGATTGAAGGTGCTACAATGCTTGTACCTGCAAAAGTCGAAAGCAAAAATATCATCGTATGTGATAAAACAACTGTAAGTAATTTTATATTTACTGGGGTGGAGAACAGAATAATTCGTGTATATACTAGCAAAAATTTTTAAAGCAGAAATAAAAATAGTAAACAAAAATCACAATATTCAGAATATATTTAAAATTTCGTAACAGTACTGAACGATTTTAAAAAATTTCATACCATTCTTGAATGATCACTTTTCTAAAAGTAAAAAAACCTAAAGAAAGATGTAAAAGGTTCCAAATACTACATAGAATAGTGAAATTGAAAATGAAAATCATTCATTTCGAATGGAATGTATAGATTTCACAAGTATTAGATTAGTTAATGCCTTGTAAGAATGCTTTTCTAAATGAATTCATTTACTTTCTTTGATTAGCTATTCTGTATTTTGATAGTTATTTGAAAAAATTATATAATCCAAGTTTGAAATTTCAACCCAATTAAGGATATGAGAATTGACATACTACCTGTTTTTCAGTATTCATATGAAGCTAATGAAGGGGAGTATGAAGCTAGTGTGAAGGTAGTTTGGAACAGAAACCATCATGTGGATTCTATCAATGTTACCCTGTATAAATGTGACATTTTGGGTTCTCATAGGGAACATGCGGACTGTTCTCTGTGTGTTACTCGAAACTCGAAATATAATTGCACATGGTGCAGTAATTCCTGCCAATATTCAGAATCATGTCAGTTCACCCCACACATTGAGTGTCCCCGACCAAGGATTGACATGATCAAACCATTAAGTGGTCCCATCGAAGGGGGTACTTTAGTCACCATTGAGGGTAGTAACCTTGGATTGAAAAAAGAGGACGTACAAGGAAAAATCAAAATCGGACAGGTTCCCTGTGTATTAGTAAATTATGAAGTGTCTGTAAGGATACAATGTATTACCGGACCTTCCAGAGTGGAAATGACAGCTCCTGTTAAGGTAGGCAATGAGGCAGGCTACACAAAATCTTCAGTAGAATTTAGTTATAAGGATATTAGGCTCTCTGGAATATATCCTTCCATTGGACCACAATCTGGGGGCACTCAACTAGCAATAACTGGAGAATATCTGAATGTTGGATCTGAAATAACAGCTTATTTAGATAGGTACATATGCCAAGTGAATTTAACCCAGGCGTCAAGTGGAAGATTAACCTGCATAACCTCGAGAGCATATGGGCCAGTTAATATTGCCAGACTAACCTTGAGTATAGATGGTGCTAATCGAACTTTGGAAGGTAACCCTTTTAATTATACCCAAGATCCAACGATAATGGAAATCAAACCATTAAATAGTTTCGTTTCTGGTGGTAAAATGATATTTGTACATGGTACTAATTTGGACAGCATTCAAAAACCTGAAATGGAAGTTTATGCTTTAGGGGAACCTGAAGTACCCATCAATCGAACTTTATGTACTGTTTTGAGTTCTACTCAAATGGAATGCCCTAGTCCACCTGTTAATCGCCAGTTCCAAATTTATAGCAGTAGGAGTCGCAGATCCCTTAGGAAACCTGCTGCTATAAAGGTAAGTCTGATACTACATTAACTAGAAATAGATGCTTGTGGGTGGTAGTTGTGCTAGCTACAAAAAATGTTATAGTAATAGTATTAAATGTTTTTATTGACATACTGAAAATAAAATAATTTATATGCTTCAAGAAAACATTTAGTTGTAGTTAATTCTAGTTATAGTAAGGCATTTCCCAAATTGTAACTATGTATTTATAAGCACCTCTATTATTTTTTTTAAGTTACTTTGAATGTGAATGTTTTTCAACTGTTGGGTAATTAATGCTATTATTATTATGCACAATATTCAAATTCACATATGGGAGTTATAAGAGCAAAGAGGGAGGTAGCTGTATGCACTAAGAACCTAGTCTTTGATAGATGCCTGATTTAGCTTAGTGTAAGCCCAACCCCTAAATCCTCGATAAATTATCATGAAACATTCAATCAAACTTGTTTTTGCTATTTTTGTTGCTTGGAAACGTCTACTTTGTCCATTTTTTCATCAAATTTCAGAAAAAAACTGCAGCTTCGTGGGCTTATTGCGTTTTTCTGACATTTTTTCAGAGTTACTGTACTAGTTTTTACAGGTCCTTTGTTGGATGTTTGTTTTCCATAAATCGCATTTCTGTTATCCAGTGCCTTATATTCACCTAATAGTTATTTCCTTTTCAAAGTCATTAAACCTTTATACCGCTGGTTATAGTATTGCAGGGAGGAAGTTGAAACGTGTACAATCTATACGAGATCTGGGTATAATGATGGATGACAAGATGGACTTTCATTTACAGTATGAACACATATCTAACAAAGTGATGAAAATATTAGGATTCATATGCAGATCAACAAAAGATTTTACCAACATTTTTTATATTGAAATTCTATTCTATACTTTGCATTGGTTAGATCAGTGATTGAGTATTGCACTTTTATCTGGTCTCCAACATACTTCAACCACAGTTATGATATTGAGAAAGTTCAGAATAAATTTCTTAGATTTGTTGCCTACAAAATGAACATGCCAGCTAGAAGTCATTCGCTCTTTGGAATTCGCTCTACTATTGCATTGCTCAAACTCAGTACAAGACGGGCACATGCAGATATAATATTCCTACATAAATTGTTGAACAACGAAATCAACTGCCCAACTCTTCTCTGTCAAGTCAATCTGCATGTTTTCCCGAGAAGGACAAGTAACAACCAAACTTTCAGTCTTGACTTTCATAGGTGTAATTATGGAAAACATTCTCCTTTGTCCAGAATTCTATCATCACCTTTTTAATGCAAAGAAATAACAGGACATTTCATGTTTTGAGGGAAATATTCCGTATGAAATCGAAAACTTATTAGGTTTGAGATGACAATATTAATTCACAAGCTCCCTTAGTATTTGAAATCTTGTCACATGCTGATGACTTTGAATTTTTCATGTTTACAATAATATTTTTTCCCAATTTTTTATTTTCTTGATAAGATTGAAGAGGAGTACTTGTGAGTTTGGAGTGTGTAGATATAAAAGAGTTTGGATGAAGTTTTAAATCTACTACATGATTATGATAATGTTGAATGTCTGCTGAGTTCACAAAAGATTCTCTCAGGACACTTCCCCTGCCACAATATGTTCTAAGGTGTTTCTCATCATCATTATAATTATTATCTTTCAATGAACTTCATTTCAACGTATTCGATATTTTTTGATCAATAAATAGGTATGTATGTTATTTCAGAGAAAGGAACCTAAGTTGACTCTTCGCATAGGATTTTTAATGGATAATGTTCAGTCTGTGAGAGACTTGGAAAAACATTTTCCAAATCTTCGATCTCAACTATTGTATGTGGAAGATCCGAAATTTTTCCAGTTTCCTGATCAAATGAAACTATATCAGGGAGATAGACTGGTTATAGAAGGTGATAATCTCAATGCAGCTAGTGAAGAATCTGATGTTGTTGTTACGATTGGAACAAAATCTTGTAATGTCACTGGTCTAGCGATGATTCAACTTGTGTGTGTTCCACCTGACCAACAACCATCAGGTACAGATGAAAATGGTTTCAAGGTAAATTATAAATATTTCTATTGGCACCAAGTGAACCTTTTATTTTTTCCAGACTGACAACAACCTTCCATTAGTCGTAGTTAGAGTAGGGAAAAGTTTAAGGTTTCCAATTGGGCATCTTCAATATGACCTTTTCAGGTCATTTGCCTTTCCACCAGAGGCAATCATAATGATAGCGGTTGGAACAATATTATTTGTTTTATTTTTTGTGGCCGTACTTTTTGTTTACCGAAGAAAATCAACTCAAGCTGAAAGGGAATATAAAAGAATTCAAATACAAATGGATACTTTAGAAAGTAATGTAAGATCTGAATGTAAATTAGGTAAGAAGATATTGCAATATTATTTAAATGTATTATAGCTAATTTCCTTATAGCGTTTGCCGAACTTCAAACCGATATGACTGATCTCACTGCCGATTTAGAAAATTCTGGGATACCTACTTTAGATCATACCAGCTATATTATGAAAGTATTTTTTCCTGGTGTTAGTGATCACCCTATATTAAATGCCCCTAAGGTGAGTTTTAAATAAATAATTTATTTTGATGAAAACATCATTTCCGCACCCAGAAATATTGTCTCTTGATGCATATTTTGCTAACCAAGTTAGCATTGTTAGAAAATAACTAAGATTATTCAATATCTTGATAGATTATAGATGGGTTGACGAAAGGATATACAAACATCTTGTTCCATTTTTCAGCTTCTGAAATTTGGCTACATCAATATTCCAGTATGCCGAACATTAAACAGAATCATTCCCAATTTGAGGTTAAAATTTTACAATTACAATATCAAATTTACTCACTGTTGAATATGAAATACCCACAGTCTACCAGTTGTGAAAACAACTATTTATGTAGTATAATAGAATTGAAACTGCAAAAAAAAATTCAATTAATATCATCAAGCTGCTTAAACGAGAATAATATGACACCAATTCTCTCTTTTTTTGATGTACTGAGTGTAACCAAACAACGCTAATTAACTGTGTTGTCTTCGTTTTTTACTTGTAGAAGAAAAGGATGCTATATAAAAATGTGTTTTATCATGTGTTTTATTGATGCTTGTGTATTTCTTGTTGACCCAACTGTAACTCCCATTCACATTCTATACATCTCATAGTATAGACACGCCTAAAGAAGCTATTGTATAGCGAAACAAGTTTTATGTTTTTATTACTTGTTCTTCTATGGAGTATTGTAGATCATTTATTTAAACTGATAAGGTTGGTCCCAAAAGTGAACCGTGAGGTTCTCCAAAATATTTAGATCTAACCATTGATTAAAAACTAACATGGGAAGTACACATAGAAAATATAGTAACAAAACTGAGCAGCATATGTTTTGTGATAAAACAGTTGCGTGGAACTGTCTCGCTAGAAGTGCTGAAATTGATATACTATGGACTTGTGCAGTCTCTTTTATATTATCCTTTGAGGTCCAGCAGAGCATACTTGGTGTAGCCTAGTACCACGATGTGGCCTACGTCAGGTCCAAATAGCGCTGTCTGGTGTTGGATCACGAATGCTAAGTTTTTAGGCTCTGATTTGAACTATTGAATATGTCCTTTTGGCTAATGAAATTATCTGAACATAAAAAAACATTCAAATAATTGTTTTCACTTTCAGCTTTGCATTTTATATTATTTTTTTAAGATGTCATAAAGATTTTTCTTGTTCCAGGTGCGATTAAATGGTCCAAGAACCAATTATGATACAGCAATGTTGCAATTCGAGCAGCTGATTAATACCAAACATTTTGTACTCACATTTATAGATATTTTGGAATCTCAAAAATCTTTTAATATTAGGAATAAGTAAGTATCTACTTAGTAAGGTTTACTTCCATTTGTTATTTCATTCATTTTTTCAGAGTAAATGTAGCGTCCTTATTAATGGTAGTTTTAATGGGCAAAATGGAATATGCAACTGATATACTCAAGAGTTTATTACTACGTTTAATAGACAAGTCTGTAAATACCAAACATCCACAATTAATGTTAAGAAGAACTGAGAGTGTTGTAGAGAAAATGTTAACAAATTGGATGGCTCTTTGCATGTATCATTATCTCAAGGAATATGCTGGTTCCTCGCTGTTTTTATTGTTCAAAGCTATCAAACATCAAATAGAAAAGGGACTGGTTGACGCCATAACTCATGATGCTAGGTACTCCTTATCTGAAGAAAGACTTCTTAGAGAAAATGTCGAGTACAGCGTTGTGGTATGTATATTGAAGTTATCTGTCTTGATTCATCGATATATTATTTTTGGTAAAATATCTTTGCCTCCCTTGTAATTGAAAAATGATCGAATCATTTATTTTCATAAATTCAAAAAATTATTTGTATTACCGATTTCCTTGGTAAGACTCAACATGACAACATTAAAGGTCACTCTCTCATTGAATAGAGCAATATTTATTTTATGAAAACCATATATAGGCATTTGAACAAAAAAGTTGGCTTTGGGGTTATTTCTTATCTTTCTAAAGCATATGATTGTGTAAATCATAAAATTTTGTTTAAGAAAATCAATAGACCGGGGAATTTTCATTGAGTTGAGTTAAGTAATATCTTTTGGATTGAAAATAGTATAACATCCAAAAGAAGGTGGAAATTATGAAAGTTTAACCTCTCAATGCACAGTGTTGCAATTCTGCAACAACAATTCATAATCAATTATCACTCAATATACTATATTTGACATTTCTCATGATATTATATCAAAAGTACATACCTTATTGCACAAGAATACAATTTTCTTATGAAGTTTTCTGCAAAACACTATTATTATGCTTCCATTTACTGCACCTATACTGTAACCGTCAAATGTCAACTGGTAACTGAAGTATAAATGCCAAAATCGTAAATACATTATCTTTTATGATCTTAATATCTGACGGTATACTTTGAATTGGATTGTTGTAGATATGCAACGCTATGCTATGGCATCGTATAATAGCCAGTAAAAATTTAAAAGCCTATGAAATTCGTTGTTGCAATATTGCAAAAATATGCATTTAAGGGTTAACTCAAGTTGTGATTTACTTCATATTATAACATCAAAATTATAAACAGGTTGAAAATGGTTTTTTCCTTCAACCAGCTGCCAACAAACGAAAACTCTCGAAAGTCGAAAGTTGTGCTAACAAGGAATTAACGAGGTCTTACCTTTCAACGTGCGATCATAGCACATAAAAAATAAAAAACTCAAATATGTACTATCATTGTATCTTCATTAGAAGAAACAGAAGTTTAACAAATATATTCATAAACTAGATTCAATCATAGAAGTATACCACTGCTTAAACAAAACTAGACATCCCTTAAAGAAAAATTCTGAGTAACAAAGAGGTTATAGTACATCCGTAAGAGGACACCATTTATGTAAATCTGAAACAAAACCATATTGGACATAACATGACAGCTTATTTTATTGAATCAGATTGAGTCAAATATAATGTATTGTAATATTTCAGACTCTTCATATTGTGCAAGACGACTTGGATGAAAAAATACAATGCAAAGTTTTGGACTGTGATACTATCAGTCAAGTGAAATCTAAGATTTTAGATGCTCTCTTCAAAAATACCCCGTTTTCACTGAGGCCGTCCATTTATGAAGTCGATTTGGAATGGAGGCATGGTCGGGGTGGTCACTTGACATTACAAGACGAGGATCTAACAACAAAAACTATTTGCGGGTGGAAAAAACTCAACACATTAGCACATTACGGAGTCAAAGAAAGTGCTGTCATGTCTCTGATCTCCAGACAAAATGATAGTTTTAATAACTGTAAACAACCATGTCATAATTGTGTAACTGGCATGTATTTGAATAACTCGCAATCTCCAATAATAACTACAAACGGTGACATTGAGGCGCCTAATAACCTGAGAATATATCACTTAGTGAAACCTATAGACGATCATCAATTTCTGAATAATAAAATGATAGAAAGGACTCATAAAGCTATTCCAGAAATATTTCTAACACGTTTATTATCCACAAAGGGCACAATTCAAAAATTTGTCGATGATTTCTTTATGACAATTCTGACAGTCAATGAAGCATTGCCTCCGGCAGTCAAGTGGTTATTCGACTTACTAGATGACGCTGCTAGAAAACATGGCATACAGGATCCTGAAGTTGTGCACGCTTGGAAATCCAATAGTCTTCCTTTGAGATTTTGGGTTAATTTCATAAAAAATCCAGATTTCATTTTCGATATTAATAAAACATCGACTTTGGATTCATGCCTGTCCGTCATTGCTCAGACCTTCATGGATTCCTGCTCTACAACAGAACATCGCCTAGGAAAAGATTCACCATCAAATAAACTTCTCTTTGCCAAGGTATGATGAAATGAAATATGTTATTTAAACTTTAAGCTTTGATAATGAACTCCTTGTTACAAAAAATGTATAATGCAAATGAAAATATTAATCTTGGATTCGCCGATGCTAAATTTTTATACCCAATAATTACATTTTTCCAAAGTGAAAAAGTTATCTTTTTCATATTCTGAAATTTTCAGTATGTAAGAGAATTCAAGTATTTATTTCATTTTGTTTTCAGGATATACCAAGGTATCGAGAAATGGTGTCTCAATTTTATAGTGACGTAGCCATGTTGCCCATCATAACAGATCAAGAAATGGGGTCTGCAATGCAACAACTATCTGCTCAACAAGCAGAAGAGTTTGATACCGTAGCAGCTTTAAAAGAACTCTACATATATGTAGCTAAATATAGAGAACCAGTAAGTAAACTCTAATGTATATTATACATTTATTCGAATATATTCCACGATGTACCCTAAATAAGTGAAATTTGTTGGAATATTGTTGACATTTCTTGTTGTAGAGTTAGAGATTCAACAGAGAATGTATTTTTAAAATTAACGGAATGAATTGAGTTAAATGAGTAACTTATAAAAAAAAACAATATCAAAATGTTTATCACTGGCATTTGTGGGTTTTGCCTCCCTTGTAATTGAAAAATGATCGAATCAGAAGGCAAATCACATAATTTGTCTAGAAATGTTACTGCCTTTCCATAAAAATTCAGATAAGAATTTATACAACTTGGATTGAACTTTGTATAACAAATTTTGCCTTGAAAAACTGGTATTATTCAAGAATAAAAACAGTTTCAGATAAATTTATTTGTTGTAAGTGGCATTGAACAATAAATCAAAGAACTTATAAGCACCCACCTCTATAACAATGACCTTGAACACATATTTTGTCGAGGAGAAGAGGGATCGACAAGACAAGCTGTAGGTGGATAGACTGCATGCTTAGGGGAAGATTGGTATATACAACCATTATAGGGGAAACAGTCGTGGCACGGATAGCAAGGGGCTGTCCTCAGGGGAGGGTTCTATCCCCTCTGTTATGGAACCTTGTAATGGACGAGCTATTATGTCTCTTGGACCACAATGGATATAAAGCACTGGGCTATGCAGACAACTCAGTCATCTTAGTCCAGAGTAAATACAATAATGTAGTGAAGGGATGCATACAGCAGGCTCTGAATATTATAACAAAATAGACCGAAGAAAAAGGGCTTAACATAAGCCAATCCAAATCGACCATAGTAGCATTCACCAAGAGGACTAAAACGGACCTCTAAAACTTCGAGGTGAAGAAATACAAGTGTCGGGGGAGGTTAAATATCTGGGAGTGATTCTAGATTCCAAACTGACCTGGAACTACCAACACTTGGACAGAATAAAGAGGAAAGCGGAGGTAGCACTGATGCTCGCCAGGCGCACCTATGGAAAAACATGGGTGCTAAAACCAGACATTGTATATTGGCTATACACGATGGTGGTTAAACCCATGATAACATACGCATCTCTGGTCTGGTGGCCAAAGATGAAGCAGGCGACCGCCATCAACAAACTAGGCAAGGTGCAAAGACTTGCATGTTTGGGAATGACGGGAGCAATGAGAACTACCCCTTCAGCTGCATTGGAAACACTCCTTAATCTACCTCCTTTTCACCTTGTGATAATGGGGGAGGCCAGGATGGGCCAATTCAGACTGGAAAACTCACCGAACTATAAAAGATCGGACCGATCAGAAATTTCGGAACAAGTGGAGGAGCACATATTGAATATGTGCACGGACCACATGACACCGAAGTACACCTTAAACACAAACTTCACGGCCAAAATCATAAGCCGTGAAGAGTGGAAGACCATTAGTCATCCCGAAAACATGTTTGGAAAAAACACCTGGTATACAGATGGATCGAAGACCAAACATGGAACGGGAGCTGGAATATACCGAGCGGATAGAAATTTAAACTACAACTATCCGCTAGGACTATACACATCCGTCTTTCAAGCGGAAGTGTATGCTATCTTGCAGTGTGCGAGGCCTATTAAATTGAGACCTCAAAGAAATGAGCGGATCAATATTTTTACAGACAGCAAGAGCGCACTAGGGGCTCTGACAAACCTGAAGGTGACATCAAATTAATTTTGAACTGGGTGCCAGGGCATTCAGGAACCACAGGTTATGATAAAGCTGATGAACGCGCTAGACGCGGATCATCAACTTCATATATAGGTCGTGAACCAGCTCTGGGGGTACCAAAATCATTTGTAAGAAACCAGATTAGGACATGGACCAATAAGAAGCACACAGAGTACTGGACAAAAGTACCTGGCAACAAACACAATAGACCGTTCTTTAGGGAACTGTCCGAGAAAAGAACCGAAGAACTACTTCAATATAGTAGGGATCGGCTCAGAATAATTACAGGGCTACTAACCGGTCATTGTCCGCTTAGAGGACACCCAAATAAAATGGGGCTGTACAACGGAGACCTCAGCTGCAGATTATGCAACGAAGGGATAGAAACAGCTCTACACATCTTATGCGAATGTGAGGCACTGAATCACAGGAGGCAGGCAATATATGAACGTACGAAATTACGTCCAGAAGAATATGACGAACATCCAACGAGGAACCTGTACAAACTAGTACAGGGAACGAGACAGATGGAATGGGTGTCATGAGAAGGTGGGAGAATAAACGCAATAAACCCAAGAGGCTGCAGTGTTTTTTGGAGACTTGGACTAAATGGACAAGTCAGACAGCTCCCAAGGTACCAAAAAAAAAGCACATATTTTGAAGAAGGATCATCCCCAGACAAACCGGCATATCAACATCATATATAAGAATAATCAATGTATCACTCAAGATATTTGAGATTATATTGAAAGACAGGTTTTACTACCCAGTTTACACAAGGAAACCACTTCTTCCAAGTACTAAACCTTGCAACGAACGTCTGTCTTTTTCTCGTTCAACAGAAACCTGTAACACCCAACCAAAATATACCAAATGTCATGGTTTACATCCCCAGAATCAATGTACCTTCACCTTGCATCCAAAATGTATAGGATGTGGTTCCGAAGAACATCAGGCATGGTCATTTAAATAGGGGCACCAGTGCCCCAATTCCAGGTATAACAAATAAACATATCAAATTGATCGACAAAAATCTCGTGAAATATAGGAAAGGAAGAAAAGCTGTCGAATTCACCAACAGTTGATGATTTTTCATTAATAGGTTAAACCCAATTACATATGTGCTGTGGTAAGCACATATTATCACAAAAAATCATAAATTTATATATTATTATGCCTAACTTACTTACTAGTATACGAGTATATTAGGTTGTTTCAACAGTTTTCTCTGTTTATGAATTTACTTCAAACTGTAATATCTCAGTGAATACTTATTCAGAAGAAAAGAGAAATGAAACTTTCTATGTTGTTTACGACTTTTATTTGTAACTAACGTTACTGCAGTTTGTCCTAAAAGGACATTTTCAAACTTATACATTAAACTCATATACTTATTCAATTATATTTATTCAATTTAAGCGAAATAAGTGCTATTTCAATAATTACAGATATAGTCTGCAAATGAAATGCCTTTGTTAGGATGAGAAATGGTAAAAGGTCAATAATTTAAATGACAAAGAGAAGTGGAACCCTGGTGGACCCAATGTGGAACCCTGGTGGACCCCATGTATTATATGTAAAAAATCTGATTTTGAATTTTTAAGAGTTACACACTGAAATCTGTTATCTGAATATGATCTGAATAGTGAAAGTGGTACGCCTCTTATTCCATATTACTCCAATTTTTATGAGAATATCGGGAGAGACATAATCAAAAGCTCTGAATAAATCAAATGGATCTGGCTGATACTTGATGAAAATCTATATCAAAACCTTATTTTTAAGACTTATTTTGATTTTCACTATAAAAGACTTACAAAACCGTAAAACGTGTTCTGCTCTACAATACCTTCCTCAAACAACATACAACAGGGTGAAATCCTGTATAGCAAAATATGTGTTACGATTTTGTAAACTTTCTATAGTGAAAATAAAATTAACGTTTTTAGTTAACTTTGGATAAGTCGCATAGTGTCATGGTTGTGTGATTTCCCTCCTCAAAATCCTCTATTATGCAATTCACTGCTTCAAGCAATGCCATAAGTGTTGGGAAAATTGTTGTTTTCAAAATATTTGTTCAGATGGTTCTCAAGAATCCTCTCGATGATTTTGGAGAAGAATAATGTTATTAATGATATTGTCTAAAATTTTGTGGGGTCTAGTTGTCACCATTTTGAAAGATTGGAACACATAAAAGTGATTGGAAAAACACTGGTAGCAAATATAAGATGTATATAGTTTGATAATGATGTTTAACTTTTTTGAATGTTTCAAATATTTATTATTTTCATCCCTATTACAGATTCTGGAAGCTCTTAGCACTGATCCGCATTGCCGACGTTTGCATTTGGCACAAAAAGTTGAAGGTGTCGCTTATACATTAGGAGGGGATGAGAATACAACTTGCTGACCTCAACGGTCACCTGATCCCTTGCTGCCTAGAACCTTGGCGCCCTGATTCCAAGCGTAATGTTCACACACATGCTTTTCGCTAATCTGAAAACTACAAGTCAATTTCCAAAGGTTTGTGCTGCCGTCGTAATTAAAATGTTAAACATATTTATTTTTTTAAGAGAGTTATGATGCTACATGATTCAGGTTACCTAAAATTTAGAAATTTCGAATGTTTGCAAAGTTCCTCTATATTTAGTCAAGTTAGTTTTATATTATTGTCTATTCGAAATACATGTCACGTATATATTTTGAATGGAAATTTGAGTTGAGCTTTGAACTGTACTTCTTATCTGAGATTGAAAATATATTATTTGTATTATCTGACTGCCAGTCAATTAATTGATTCGATAATGAACATTTCATCCAGTTTTTCATAGATTTGTACATATCTTCATCTGTCACAGCATTATGGCATCTTAGGTAGGAAGTTAAGTTCTGCTGGATCTCAGTTATTTTTTGAATCCATCCGTTGAATATATTTTTTTAAAGATACTGTCAGATTGTTGACTAGTAGCATAATAGTATTGTTGTATTTTCATTGTTATATTGAAAGAAACTTCCTACAGAGAGAAAAGCATGTTTGTGTTATTGAGCGTGTTATACTGTGATATGGCGCACGATCAGGTGACTGTGATTGGATGCGTACTTACCCTCCAGCGGCTGCTAGTTTCCTTTCCGAGTGCCTCGCTACGCTGATGGGACGTGACAAGGACAGTGTATACTCGCAGTGGCGCAATTACGGCGCACTTCTGTTCGGTCCGGTTAGCCTAGTTAAGTAGAAATTAATATACTTTTTAAATGGAAACGGTGTGTTTGATTATTTGTATATTATTTTATGATCACTTTGAAGTCAGTCGTTTATGTGAAAAATAGTGATCTATGCCGGAACTTTATTTAATGTGGAATAGTCTTCAAGTCCAGTGATTTGTACGTTACTATTTTAATTATGTTTGATATAAAATAATGCATTGTATCTCATCTTTTCTTTTGTAAATATAATATGAATTGTGCATATAGATTATTAACGGATTTATAAAAGTGTTTATACCTAGGCGTACATTCATCGATGATACATTATTAGATTGTGTTAGGTATAATTTTTTATTGTGAACAATTTTTACAAATCTTATACATGTAGTAGCTGCTTATTTAAAATGTGGCTACCTATAAATCATATATCCATATATCTATTTTTATTGCAATCAAACTATTTGAATTTGAGATATTTTAATGAAATAGCAGCAGACACATTCTAAATGAGCCTTATAAATTTTTTATAATTAAAATATGGATGTCTCAATTTTCAAATTCAATAATACAATACAAAATGTTAGTGAAAAGTATGGTTAGTTATGCATTTCAGTTTTGTCTCGAAAATTCATATTTTACTTTTTCAATTGATTTTCATTGTAATATATTCCTTTAAAGCAGCTTGAGATTTTTCAATACTTTCGGTAATGTGATCGTAAATTGAAAGCTTTTTATATAAAAGTGTATTGTTTAGTGATATTTTTTTACTCTATTAAACATGTATTCCAAACGGTTTAAAAAGCTGTCTCGAAACAACTGCTTTCATATAAACATTGATTCAGATGAATTTTTTTTTTTTTTCGAAACAACTACTTTTATACGTACATTGAATTATACAAAAAACACTTATGCTATTCACTTTATACTCCATTCTTTATGGAATTGAATCAGATATCATTCACAGGATTGTTACACAATATAGTATGTGAAAGAGGTATAATTTCACTTACATGGAACACTGTCATTCTCAATGGTAGACATCAATGTTTTGGAATAAGACACTTGCCTCTTCAGCACCAATATGAATAACATTACAAAATGACTTCAGATGTAATAATCCAAGACACATCTTGTTAATTTATTGAAATCTTTCAACCCCATTATGCATGTACTAATGTCAATTTTGCATCATATAGGAATATCTGAAGATGATGTTGAATTTTTCAATTATCTATGAGGAAGGAGTCTATTTAGTGGGACTTTCTCAAATTGAAGCCAGAAGTGCCGCAAGGTTCAATCCTAGTTCCACAATTTTTTTCTATTTATACCAGCCAGCTCTTCAACTTTCTTACACATTATTCTTCTCATCTATACGCAGACGACACTCAGATCTATATCGTTTTCAAACGTTAAGATGCTGATGAGGCTTGTGTACAAGTTAATAAAGACAAGAATAATTTTGTTGAAACTGCAACTGAGCATTGTTTAGTTAACAATCCAAAAAAGTCAAAGGTTTTAATCTTTGGGCCAAAAAATGTCAGGGAGGTAATTGAAGACAAAATGAAAATAAACATACTTGACAATAATCTGTTCAGTGTAGATCAAGCGAAAAGTCTGGGACTTATTCTCGAAAGTAATTCAAGATTTGAAACCCACGTAAAGGCTTATAGAACTCTTAAGATTATTCATGGAAACAGAATTTTTTTTACAAAGGCAACAAGAATAATGTTATGTGATAGTTTAGTTTCGTCTACCCTGAACTTTGCTGATTCAGTAAGCGAGTGGTTAGCCCTGTAGACCCACGGCCGGTACTGAGGAGAAAATTGTGTTCTCCCCCCTGGGAAGCGCCTGGGCTGCCGGTCCCGTTTTGTACCAGTTGCTCGAGTAAGTGGTAGCACAACTCACCAAAAGCCTCAGGTGTTAGTGGCCATTCCTGGTTATTTATTATTATTATTATTTTCCCCGGAAGCCCTGGGGTAAGTGATCATTGGTTGAGAGATTCATGTGCCATGACTAAGCGCAGTGAGCCAAGAATGACAGTATTCTGATTTCTTCCTTAATGCGGCAGGCCGGCATGATTTTGAGATTCGAGAGGGCATAATTCCACCAACGACTCCAGTAATGAGAACAACCATCTTGACATAGTGGTCTGGATAGAGTCTGCAGAGTTTGATGAGAAAATCTCGATATGTTATCCATTTTTCCCCCTCTTTTCGGACGGTAGTTTTTATTTTTATCATTATTATTATGTGTCACATGTTCTTTGAAACGTGTTTTAATGACTCGCTTAGTCTGGCCGATATATTTTTCGTCACAGTTCTCACGTAGATAAAATAAAATATTGTAGATGAGTTACTTAGGAAATGTAAATTTGTGGAGAACCCTTGTAAATCTACGATTTTTTGAAAGACATGGTTTCAAAGTGTATTGTCCTCCCTTATGAATCAAGATACACTGATGGGTCAGTGTATCTTGAATATGAATGTGGAGGGTGTATGAAATGAGCCGTAAGGACTGTGACAAAAATATAGGCAATAGCTATGTGTGATATGAGAACTATGAGCAGTGACAAAGGTCCCATTTCATAGAGCCAAGTATATTCCTTTTTATGAATCACTCTGTGAGATTTTTCAGATTCTCTTCAGCGTTAGATTACCTATGTTTCAATATGAATTGTCTTGGGTGTGAAGTTATCAGTAGTGGTCTTCCTGTCGGAAACAAAAATAAAAACTTTTAAACATACACTGAAAAAGTTCTTAATCCAAGGAGCATTTTATACTTTAGACGATTTTATTCAGAAGTGTGGCTGATTCATTTTCATCTATGTACTATGCATTATATGTACTGTTTTTAATATGTATCCATCCAATATGTTTGTTGTTTGTTTTTCTTTTTTTTTTTGACATATCTCATGTTGTAAGAACAACACCTAAAGAGACAAATATATTATCTATCTATCTATCTAACTAAGAACTCTTTCATCTGGAGAACTGCGTTTATGTGGAATAAACTTCATGAGAACGTTTTTCCGAATGGATTTAATCTCCAGCGATTCAAATCCAATGTGAATTGCTTCTTTCGCACAGGCACCGCTCAGAGAGTGTCCTAAGGATGTTCCTGTAGTGTTTGTGTTTTGTGCTTAAAAAAAAATAACAAAAATAGGTTTATAGTAAATCTGTAAAGGATACATTTTTTCTCTCACCAACAAACCCATACCGAAAAATAAACATATTTCTGGATGGAATGATGTTTCTGTCAAAGTTCTATTTCATCTTCCTGGTAAGGTCATGAATGTGCTAGCTTATTATGCCATTAATAACATTAATATACTGCTTTTCCGCTGACATACCTAACTTGTACGAATATTGGTCTCGATATAGTGGTATGTCAGCTAGTGTAACGTCCATAATGTGCCTGTCAAGTAGTTTTTCTAATGTTTTCAATACAAATTACATGAGGCCTGCTTCGCCAATTATTCTGCATTATATAATGCGTTACTTTCCAGGAATTTTGAATTTAGCTGTTAGTAATTTCTGTGATGTCTTATATAATATTATTGATTCATATGTTCCTATTTTCAAAGTATTCAAACATAAATTTCCCAAATGGGATATGCAGTACAATTGTGATTTCAAGAGCCTTAGACTTGTCACCAAAAATCAAATCAAAGCTGTATATGATATTTATTTAATATATAAAATAATCTGTAGAGAATTTGATCTTCAATCCCTCATGGTCATACGNTATGTCAAACAAATCCACCATAACAAATTTAATTGTATTGACTCAGAATGTTAGTGATGTCTTAGATAATCGTGGTCAAGTTGATGTGACATATACTGATTTTCCATATTTTAAAACTAATTGATACAGTTTATTGTATGATTTTCACTATAAAGAGTTTTACTGGAGATTATGTTTGAGGAAGCTATTGTATAGCGAATCACGTGTCACGGTTTTTGTAAAACCCGTTATAGTGAAAATTATACAATAAACTGTATTAATTAGTTTTTTTATATGGATTTTCATCAAGTTTTACGCCAGTTCTATTCAATTATACTGATTTTGCTAAAACATTTGACGACTTTTGGGAAGTTCGTACAGTTATGCTTCCACTATACACTGGGAGGACCACATTAAATCTTTATCAAGCTTCCATGTCTGTCTCACTGACAACTTGGAGTCAGCTTTTCCTCTTACAGGAGTAAACCTATGATGCAATGAATAACTGAAGGGTCAGAAATTTCAGGGATGAACTTAAGGGCGCTACATTACTTAAGAAAGTTTGCATCAGAAAACTCATTTTTCGTACTATACTTCAACAGTTATAGAAGTATAAGATGCTGGTGAAAGCAGCAAAAAAAGTATTTTGACAAAATAATGGCAAACTATAAGCAAAGTGAGTTGTAATATTGTAAATGAATTAAGAGGGAAAAGTAGCAGCACATCACTAAGGACTACTCTTTCTGGAGATGAGATTTACAACTATTATTGTACAATTAGTTCATTAAGATTAGTTAGACTAGTTAACAACAACAGGCATCTAGATGTCTACGAGACTGTAGACATAAGTAAACATAATAATAATATGAATAATAGTATACTATACTATACAGCTTGTTGAAATAATATTTTAATGATCAGGTTTACCTGACTATAACATAAGGCCACATTTGTAAAATTAATTTAAAACTAGTAGATAAGGCAACGTTGTAAATTAATTTAAGAAACTCAAGACGCAAGTATCTAGAAGAGGTATCTACGGTATAAATGAGGATAACATTGTATGTATATTTGGTTTAATCTTCCTCATGAAGATGATCACTTGGTGATCGAAACACGTGTCGAAGTGTTGAAATAACAGTTTGGTGTTGGAATAAAACTCCAATAATATTCGTTACTACACCGAAGGTTCCAAACAATGTTTTACAAGAGCTTCATTTATTTAATTCAACTTATTCTCTGTCAAATAAAGATTATATTTCTAATAAAAAATGTAACAAATTTTATAATAGCCAAACCTCTCTAGATATTTTTAAGAATTGAAGTACTTAAAAAAAATAAAGGCAACATTATTATTATTAAGTAATGAATATCTATAGCCTGAGTTATATCGAAATTAGAGGTTGACTAATTGTAGAATCTCTGATGAAGAAACAAGATTTTTAAAAAAATTCACGTTTAAAAACATGGAAAAATGTTCATGACACAAACATTTGATCTATCCTAGTCTGACAAATATTATTTGTTTTGTGGTTAATGTTCAATGGGCTTTTAATAATCATGCCTTTTTGTGATATGCGAGTCCAAATAGTTATTTTTGATGCTGTGTATGGTTTTCTAAAGTAAGGTTCAATCAATATCTTACTAAACTTTCGTCCTAGCAAATATCTGAACATGATGAAAAATGAAGAGTATCAATATTGTGATTTTATGAGTTTCATAATATTCAAAATCATACAAAAAATTATGGTCACCTGCCACCTGAAACACTGGTTTGTTTTCACATTTATAATGGATCTTTTATTATCAATGTGAAGTGCATATAGAGATATTGAGCCCAAAAGAAAGGCAGAAGTTATATCAAACGATTTGAACAAAAAGACAGTTTGGACGGTTTGAATAAATAATACAAAAACAAAATAAACTGAATAGTCCAAAAATGAATTTATAAAAAATTCGTTAAAAAACAATTGCCAAGGTAAACAAAAAAATCACCTGTGAATATAATAATTGGTCCGCAAACACATAAAAAATAAATTTATTATAAGTTTGATTTAATAAATGGTTTCAAATATTGATTGAATGATTTATTAACTGGTTCAGCATTTAATGGACTTTTCTGTGCTTCTTCCAACAATCTTTCGTAAACATTTCCATCATATGAACCAAGGGCTGATGATAAAACCTCATCACGAAAATCAAATCCATCAACTATTCCGACAGCATTGGGCCTGATCAAAGCTAGAAGATCTTCTAACCATGACTGGAGTATTTGAATGTCCTTTCCTTGGAGTTCAGTAAACTGTTGAAAAGTATGAACACCTCAATATTAAACTTGTCCAAAAACACAATTTTTTTTAGAAAATAAATAAATAATGTCAAAGAGATTCTCAGTGACGAAGAGATTTGTTAAAATAGAAATAAAATAGCAATACAAATAATTATAATTACACAGTTACGAAAACAGGTAACCAGAATCAATACATATTATTGAAGTTATTTTCCAACACCAAACCGTTATTTCAACACCTTGGCACGTGTTTTGATCACCAAGTGATCATCTTCAACAGGAAGATTAAACTTGTTGGTGATCGAAACACGTGTCGAGATGTTGAAATAACGGTTTGGTGTTGGGAAAAAACTCCAGTAATATTCATTACTACACCAAAGATTCCAAACAGTGTATCACAAGTATCAATACATACAAATGCGTGCATATCATATGATTGATTATATACTTATGAGGCAAAATGAAATGAGCTAAACATGAACAAACAATGAACTAAACATCAAATCCTGAGGTCAAAATAGTCATATTAAATGTTTAAAATTACTTATTGTGTATTTGGACAGACAAAATGTGTCCTTTCAAGAGGCATATTGACAGATTTTTTAATTTTTTAATACTGTCAAAAAAATGAGTAACCTTTTTTCAAAATTTAAATATGTAAAACAATTTCTATATGGAATTTTAGGCTGGGGTGGCGTAAAAAAGATACATTTAAAATTATAGAAAAAAAGNTTTTTGCCCTCGTGAAGTATATTTCGTTTAAAAAATATTTTAAGAAAAATTCTTCAACAAATATGGATACATTCATCATCTAAAGACGATTGTGGATACTAATAACCAAAACGTTCGAAATAATTTGGTTTATAACCTTTTTCAACTTTTTTTATTTTATTTAGATTTCAAATAACATTACATTTATATTAGACAATGGAAGTCCGAACTATTGAAATTCACCATGAAACATTGTCAACCACTTTCAAATATGGATACTGTTGATATGAAATGCCAAATATATGTTTAAAATCTGTTCTGTTTAAAATATGTAAAAATAGAAGTTGATTTTTAATTTTTTTTATGATTTGGCAAAACAACAGTATTTTTATTTGAATACTTACCCTCAATAAGTCCCCACTACACTTCAATGCAGTATTTACTGCATAAAGTTCCAAGAGATTTTGAAGAACAAGTCCCAATTGTGGTGAAGTTTTTCGTGTGATATTCTGGATTGTATTGTAAAAAGTTTCCACTATAATGGTTCTACCATGAATATCTGCAGCACCCACTAATTCAATAGATGTATTATTCCAAGCATCTTCATATGCTTCACCTCTTCGAACCCTTTCACTGATGTGATTGTGAGCTGAATCAATTTTCCTATTTGACATAAAGTATTCAATTTATGTTTCATATGTAATTTTTGATCAAAGAAAATTTGAATTGTTCGAGTATAGACACACACACTTGTCTTGTCATTCCATTTGAATTCCAGGACATCGGCTGTAGATGCAAATCTTCACCGTCAGCAGGAGGTTTCATATTTTAATGAGGATCTAAAGGTGATTTCCAATTGGGGTGATAGTAATTAGGTTTAATTCAATGCTACGAAAACTCAAGCATCAGTTTTCTTCAAAAATATAAATTTCTTCGAATCAGATATAATAATGTCAGGACAGTCAATTCTGCTTCCTGCTTCGATAAGTTTGCAGGGGGTTAAAATGAACACCAATATGTCTTGGAACGATCATGTCGCTGGAGTTGCAAGGCTGCTTCTCAAAAGCTTGGAACACTGTTCCGAACCAGAAAACTGTAAACACCTCAGCAACTTTTGATGTTTTATAAAGCTCAGATCAGACCTTCTTTAGAGTATTGTTCCCATGTATGAAGCTCCGCCTCTAAGTATACCCTGAAGCTGCTGGATTCCATCTAGAAAAGAGCCATTCGACTGATTGGAGACTCGAACATCACTTGCAACCTTGATAGCCTGAAACATCAAAGACAGGTCTCTCTTCTAAAGATACTTTCACGGGAAGTGTTCAAGTGACTAGGCACATTTTATTCCACCAAGAGCGGAACATATCAGAAATACGAGACGGACTGTGGCTGCTCATCATTTTGAAGTTCAACTCAGTACACCTGCTTGATAAAACTGAGTGTATATGAAATAAACTTCCTGAGAACTTTTGATTTTTGATTTTGATCTCCAGCAACTCAAATCCAACGAGAATCGCTACTTTCGTACCGGCACCGCTCTTAGAGCGCCTTAAGGATTTTCGTGTAGTGCTTGTGTTCTACTCTTAAAAAAATCTAATATCTACATATCCAACACTACTCAGTAGAACTAGTGAATATTAAATGTGAAATATTAGAACAGAACTAATGAATATTAATTTTAAAGTTATTGAATACTTCCTCATTTATTGTATATCAGGGTAACCTTCTGAAATTTTTTCTCACTCTTCTACCATTTCTAATATCAAACTGGCATTCAATAAAGAATTTATTGCTCTCAAAATAATCCTTGATTTGAAATAGTTGTTAATTAGGAGTAATTTATCATTCCGGCTTGAAGAAGCTATTATACAGTGAAACACGTAGCGATTTTTGTAAGCCTTTCATAAAAAAAAATCTCACAGTAAACCGTACCAGTAAGCGATAAAATATGTATGGGATCACGAAAGAAGATTTATCGTATGTGAAATAGATACGAAAAATAAAATTTGCGGAATGTAGACATATGATAGCAAAACACAGCTGAAAAAATGTGATTTGATCAAGATTCGGACCCGTCTCTTCTGTTCTCTCGAGTCACCAAGCAGAATGACTGAATCTGATATTTTGTATGTGTACAACCTTTCAGCTTTTTCAAAATCAGCGGTGGCAATTATAAATTATCATACACCTAAAAATTTAATATTAGATGTTATGCTGTTTCTGGGTTTCAATATAGTTTATGGTACTCGGTATATTTCTAAAATAATCAATTAATTTCAGTAGCATAATAATCTTTTATCTTTTGTTTCAAACTGTCACACAATTGAAAACAATTCAGTTTTTCATCTACAATTAATGTATTTAATGGTGAAACTTTCTGTGAGCAGTATGACATGTGTATGAAAGCTGGTATCCAAAGAAGATATAAAACTGGTATATTATACTATCCATTACTCTTCTAGTTCTTAGATTTCTGTGGGTTATGCGGTTTTTTAAAAGAAACATCAATTCAAATTGCAAAACCCCAGAATCACTTATTGTCTTAAGTACTGTCATACCTACCCAGCAGATGTTTGCTGCAGTGCTGAAATTATCCACTTAACTGACTTCTCTAACGGATTTCTTTGATTGAGGGCATTTTCTAAATATTTCACAGTTGGCAAATTTTGGATGTTTTGTTTATTTTGCCATACTTTTATCAGAAATCTTGCTGTTTGTAGCAGAAGAACCGTATTTTCTCCTTCGTAAGTACACATAGCTGTTACTAGACCATATGTAGAAGGTAAGTTAGATGATGTCATGTATCCGTGACCTCCACATGACATTCGTAGTGTTTCAATACCCTGTGCAGCATCTGCAGAACTTACAGCTTTCAGAACACAAGAAGTAGCATGAAGCTGGAACAAAATCATTATCAGTGTTGACTTGTGCTATAATAAAAATAATGTTTATTCATAGGTTTTGAATACATAAAGTCTATTTACTTATGTATAAAAGAATAATAAATAGAATGAAGCATAAGTACTCGTCTAAAGTATAAAAAATATATGCAAGTCCAACTCAATGAAAACTTTTGTCATTAAAAAAATATGATGGTGTTAGGTTTGGTTAAGGTTTTATGAAATTAAACAGTTTTACAAAAACCCAACACGTGTTTCGCCATTGTATGGCGCCATCGTGTGTTTAGTGAAAATCTCACAATAAAGTGTTTTTTGAATACGATACGGATTTTCATCAAGTATCGGCCAATTCCACCATATGTTTTGGGATTCTTGAGAAGTTATAGAAGTGTGTGTTGTGATTATGTTCATATGTTTCGGAACAATGAAGTGGTAAAATATACCTGGCAAACATAACATTTTTGAGTATATAAATACGGACCCAGACAATAATATTCAGATTAATAGAAGAATATGCCATTGCATAGTATAACCAAGTAAACCAGATTTCTGTGGGTTATGCGGTTTTTTAGAACAAACATCAATTCAAATTGCAAAACCCCAGAATCACTTATTGTCTTAAGTATTGTTATACCTACCCAACAGATGTTTCATTTAATGGATTGTGTGATATGCTATATTGTGATTTGAGCACAAACTTTCGTTATGTGTGTCTCAAATACAGTATAAATGTATTACTGTATTCAGTATCGACTTATTACTTTTACATTAGATAGAAAATTGACCAATAACCGTTTCCATTTTATAAATAAGTTACTCTACATCATATCCAGATATTGCCATAATTGTATCGGCAAACATGAATATAGGAACATCTGCCATATGCTGTGGAAGGTCATTGACGTACCGCAAAAACAACAGAGGCCCAAGAACTGAACCCAGTAGTGCACCCACTTTCACATTCTATAACGATCACCTAATACCATCATGGTACCAATTTTTCAATACAGACTGTACCAAATACCTTTGACCATTCGAAAAATAATGAAAGTACACATTTCTTGCTGTCAATCTTCTCATATATAAAATTTAGCTAATATACAGAAGTTATGTCTACGAATCTTCTTTGTCTAAAAACGTGTTGACTAGTGCATAACAAATTGTTTTTCTACAAGTGGTCTACTATTCTTTAGAAACTACGTTTTCACAGTGTAGAAACAGAAGAAAGCAAAGAAATTTGTCTGTAGTTATATATTTCTTTAGTATTACCCTTCTTATATGAAAAAAATGATTATTGCTTTTTTGAACAATTTAGGGAAGCAGCCACGTTAGAGTGATAGACTCATTAGTCAAAGGTGTCAGAATAATATCTTCATTATCTCTTATCGTTATGATTCATGAACCATCACATCCAGCAGAAGTTTTTTGTTCACCATCACATCAACACTAATTATCACTTCATGCTGTGTGACTGGATGAGATTGAAATGGATACATGTACTGGAATTTTCAGTAAAGGTACAGGGAAGTGACATATTTTCACCAAACTGGTTATTCATAACAATTTGTGATGCATTAGCAAAGTGAAAAACAAATCATTGTGATCCTTCCTCAGCTTCAGAAATGATAGTGTTCTTCTTTAGAAGTGTAATCTCAATTTTTTTATGTTTTTTATTTCTTAGTTCATTATTTATAATTTTTTAGGTTTTTTTAGTTTTGTGTACCGAATTATTGACTTTAGAACTGTAGCTATTTGCTCTTGCCTTCATAACATTTTGTTTGTGTTCTTTATTTCCTCTTTTATTATTCACTAAGATATGAGCTAGGTGGTCAGCAATATTGGGTTGGACTATAATTGATACAGGTAGAGCTCGTAATCATTTTCATTAGTGAACTCTCTGGTAGCATTCCCAGGCGTTGATTATGTCAAGGAGAAGCTTAGTGTTAATATCATGTTTTTGCTGATCTATATTTGAGTCACCACACAGAATTTGAATCAACTCTATGCAGCATACAGGAGATACTTGAAACCACCAAAAAATAAACACTCCAAAAGAACCACATACTTCCACCTAAGCTGAAAATTCATACGAGACTTGAACTAAAAGTTAGCTTTTTTGCAAATTTAGTGTGTTACTTATTGGGTTGAATTGCTGAAGTTAGCGATTGGAAAAAACTTAAGGTATGTAAACCTCCATTTTTATTACCCTTTCAATCGTTTCAATCCTTGCAACTACTTTAGAATATCATTCCTTAATTTGGTCTATCAGGTTACACAGAATTGGTTCTAATTTTTTTTTCTAACTACGTGATGTGAAAATGAAATGCTATACCTTTGAATGTTAAATCTTACACCTGAGAAAATTATATTTTTTCTATCATGTGTAATACATTTCATATTAAGAAACAAATTAACAAACTCCCAACACACCAATAGGGAACCCATTATACTGTTCCATTCATGACAAAAACTACCACATAAAGAACATTTCTCTATCTAGCACACAAATTTTACAATATCCCAAAATAATTAAAACTTACAAGAATATTCAAGATGATCTTGAAGCAGTTCATTCAGAAAAATTCAAGGAATTCAATATATTCACTGATTTATTCAGAACGGTAGTTGTGCAATTCTTGATTGTCACTTATCGATGAATGCACAAAAAACCATAACATTTGTTCAGTATTAATGTATTTTTTAACAAATATCACCTATGCATTCATTTTTTCTAGTGTATTTTGAATTGGAATTTTAGCCTGATTGACAGGCTCATTTCATTTTGTATCTTTTGCTAAACTGAGTGTTTGAAGAAACTCATAAAAGGTCTCAGATGTTATCTGTTAGGATTATGCAAAAAAGAACATTTATAACATATGAGTATTTCTGAAGTTTTTCAACTGTATAAATAGTTTTCCTTACTTCTGGCAAGTTATCCATTTGACCTGTTTCAAGTTCCCCTGTTACATTATTGTATGTATCCCAAAGCCAACTTGCGGCATACTGGAAGGCAAAACAAGCAGCAATATTCGGGAACAATTTGTACTGTTGTGTTAGGAAGTCTATTATTTGTGGTTCAGGTTCACTGAAAAATATTTATCATTTGAGTAATGATATTCAACTGAGAATTTCTACACTCAAATAAAATTCAACAAAACAAATATGGTTTATATTTTTTTAATCCTTCAGAATCTAGAATCGTGAATCTGCGAGCAACCTATCCAAGATAGCTTATTATGCACACTTTGATACCTCCACCAGCTCATCCCTATTTCCTTCAGAAGTCAGTAGAGTATAGTTTGTACGGTTATGTGTATAAAAAAGATAGAGGGATATTGAGTGACATGGTATTATCGATGGAAAAAAGGTTATTGGACAAAGCACTCATAGGAAGGTGGGCAAACCGCAGACACGTGCAGGGGCCAACGATGACACGAAATTGCAGTTGGCCCCTGATGATGAATCCACTTGCTTGTTTGACCCCTTTCTTGCAACCAAGTGTTGTCTATCCTTTACACTTGGCTGTACCGTACTGACGAAGGCTAAATGACCAGAAACACGTGTCTGCGGTTTGCCCACCTTCCTATGAGTGCTTTGTCCAATAACCTTTTTTCCATCGTGTTTAATCAAAATCGGCGAAAATAATTGTAAATTATTAATAAAAGAAACAGTGAAACTGTTACTCGGAAACGAAGCAAGTTAGACCACCCGCTCATATGAACATATATATATATATGTGGGGAGGATTGTTTATCCAGGTGTATTCATCTGGACAGTGTTCTCGAAGGTCAAAATTTCAAAATCATCTTAGATGGCATTATCATAACTTTGCTCCTTCTTTGGGATGGGTTACATATGTTAGTTTCCTTTGTTAACATCAGATTCTTCAGTTATCTCTGACAAATCATTATTCATTATTGGTTATTGTCAATAATTTTTCCTGATCATTGTTGATTCCCGATTGTTGTATTTGGCTTGTCTGTTTGGTCGAGTGAAAATTGGTTCTATATCCTGCCTGTAAGAGATTCTGAAAATGGACAGGAAATATTTGTTTCGACTTTAAGGACTTTTTGTGTTCTTGGACTCTGCAGATATTGTATTGTTCTGTGAACAACATCCTGTTTGAATATTGCACTGTGAACACTGTTGGAGAGTCGTTTTTTTATTTATATTAGATTCAGGACAGTATCTAACTTGGTCTTACTGAAAAATATGGTGCATATGTTAGATACTTTTAGACAATGTTTGAGTGTATCTGGGTGTACCTGACTTTTCTTGAAAAATTTCAATTGATTTCATCACTTAACAAAAACAAATTCGTCAATTATTACATTTCTTGGAACCATTTTGTTTGGACAGGACACTAAGACTTTCCTAATACCATCCAGGATCACAAGTAAGTCTAAAAGCAGCCCTGTCCAATGTTTCTTTCAAAAGCTACCCCGAATGACAAACATAGACAGATGAACTAATAAATTTTGAATGAGTGGGAATATACATAACCAATACTTTATAAATCAATAACAAACACTCACTCTGGTTTTATTTGTGATTGATGTCTAACTGCACTATATCTTGTAGCAATAGTGCAGGCTTTTTTCAAATAAGTAGAAGCATCTTGTACCAGAACTACCCTCACAAAAATCATTGTCCCATAGGTTAGTTTACTACTTGGAGAATTTACATAAGTACCATCCTGTTAGATATCCATTATTTGTAGTGTTCATGCCTAGTTTGCAACCTATTTCGCCAATTTTAATACCAGGTAAAGGATAATGAGTTTCTTCATCTCTCAATTGGACAATAAATGGATGGATACCGTGACATTTTCCTTGTGTATATAGTTGTGCAACGACGACAGCATGATTTGCTGAATGTCCCACTAAAATTGGTTAACATTGTTACTACTACATTACGGTTAGATAACATGAACAAATTCAGAAAAACAGACATCATACGTTTCCTCCCCTTCTGTTCTGTTGTGCTAATTTTTTTTTTACAAAATAGGTTTATGGATTGCCTGTCATTGTTAATATGAATAATATTTTATACAGAGCAGAGTACTCTACTTGAACACATTATGTGGTCAAATAAAGTGACACATAGTTATAAAAAATATAAACACAAATTCACAATACTCTTAAAATACATATACAAGGAATAAATAAACATCAATCTATAAACATGAATTTGAATCAAAGCCACAGCAAACTATACTCGTAAACTAATATACTCGTTTACATCAAAGAAGCAATGTTCTAGTAAAAACTTTTTTATAACAGTTTCAAATGTTTCTGATGCTTTGATGGAGCGATGAAGTGCGCTTTAAAGATCAGTAAACATTCAGCGAGTTTCTACCAGTCTGTCCTGTCAGTCTATGTCTGCCTACTCCCAGATGACGCTTAGAAATAGGAGGCAGATTCAGACCCTGGCGTCAAGTCACAAAACCCTTGGAGCGTGTCACTACCTGAGGAGGAGGCAGATTGAGACTAGAACCTTGCCATACTTCTTTGAAGATGGCTTCGAAGTCAAATCCGAAACGTAGACAAACTAAAAATTTTACATGTGGTTCAACCAGGACTTCAGATTCTCATTTATATATGGCAAAGTAAGTTTTTGAAATCAACTGTTGGTACATCAGAGTAAACCAATTGATTTCTAAAGGTACCCACAGATGCTCTGTAAAAGATCTGAGAAAAAACTGTGCAAGCCTTTGTGCAGAACTGCACAGTTTCAAATAACTGTACAGTTTGCTGGATTACAAAGGAAAAAGTATTTTATAAAACTCTTCAGTCCTGGACTGCACAGGCTGACCTGAGCACATCTGTGTTTGTCTACAGCAGTACATGGACTAATCAGTGTTTAGATGCAACTTGATTTTGCGTTTGACTTTCTTCTTCAAGTAAAAACATGTCACACGTAATTCTTGAGGATTTTATAAAAATCTACATATCTTTGGCAGATTAGAATTAGGGACTATCATGACACCATTTTATACTGATGAACTGAAAACAAAAAGATTTCTGGAGCAGGTGTGGTGGAGAGTGAATTGATGCCACTACCGTAAAACCAGAAACAAGGTTGAAACAATTTATGACATTATTACCGAAATGATATTAGTTTGTAAAGTGAAAAATGATTTAACTACGACACTGCTTGTACTACATTCTTGATTTCTTCAGGATGATTCACTGACTTTGATTCTATGAAGTTTAGCTATTTCAAATAAAATCAAACTTGACGAAAACTGTGGCGTACAATGATTTTTACCATAAATATCAATCAAGTAACTCTCAGCGACGCCACTGGAATTAAAATTCCAAATTTAATTTCATGAAAAGAAGCCCAGTATAACTCATAATAAACACACGTAGTTTAATCAAAATCGGCGAAAATAATTGTAAATTATTAATAAAAGAAACAGTGAAACTGTTACTCGGAAACGAAGCAAGTTAGACCACCCGCTCATTAGAATGTTTCGAATAAAATATTTATTGTATGAACATTAAAAAAAGCTATAAAATGCAGAAGCATGGAAGTGGAAGAATATTGTACTTTTTAAACAATGGTTTGAATGATTCTCGAGGACGAGCATTGTCTAAGCAGCGAATTATTCTTTTATTAACTTCAAAAATTCGATTGATATGTGCAGAGCACCCAGAAGATCAGACCGTTTAACAGCCTTGACTTGCAGCCTCCATGAAACACTAATTTAAATCATTTCAATAGAAACAGTATCACTGATATTACAAATCACAAAATTTGCACTATCAATTTTAGTACATAAATACTCCATATGCATTTCCCAAGTAAGTTTCTCATCAAGAATTATTCTGAAAAACCGCGTTGTTTCGCTGTATTCCAGATTCTCACCACACATGGTGAGTTTTTTTTCTAAAAACTACATCTAACGATTTGATCTTCACAAACTTTATTTCCAAAAATATCACATGTTTCGCCATTAGAGTAGCTTTTTTGTAGTGAATAACATACAGTATGTTATTCACTACGAAAAAGGTACTGTGATAGCGTAACATTAAAATAAAGTTTGTGAAGATGAAATCGTTTGGTGTAGTTTTTGAAATTACCACAGATCTTCATGAAGTAATGGCCGAGTCAATCAGAAAAAAACACATGGTTAGATTGATAGTCAAACAAAAAGAATTCCATCTAGTCATGAATTCTTTCTGCAGTTGGGTCAGTACTATGTTCACTGGTCGTGATACTCGGATGGGTCACACCGTTCTGAAGAGACCATGTCCGGTACTGATGATGGGGAAAGTACCCCAAAACCGGTCTGGAATAATAATCATTATATATATACACACACACAATACAATTTATCAGGAGTTGTTCATATGTTGCATATATCATTGCAAAATATGAGGACAATTGGCCTTAATATGGTCTCCAATTTCAACATTTAATTAACCAAGCAGTAAATGATCACGTTAACAAATTCAAAAGATATTCATCTATGCCACTTGAAAATTCAAATAGTCATGTAAGATGGCACAAACTATACATGAAGGTTTCCAAAGCCTACATTATGTAAGAGGTGCAATAACCATATAGAAAAGAATGTAAAACTTACATCCTCCAGGCCACCACTTGTAGGCAGTTATAGTCGGACTATTCAATACAAATTCTTCTGTATTTGGGTCATAGGTGGCAGTAGTTTCCAGTCCTCTGATAAAAGTTCCATGACCCAATTCAGTCTGAAAAATGCATTGAGTTAAGAGGATTTTCATAAAAAGAAAATAAACTAACGAACTTGTGCATAGGTTCCAATAATATCACATGTCCAGGCTTTTTGTATCCATTCTGCTTGTTGTTCAATCGTACCTTGACCCATTAATGTAGGAATAAACATAACAAAATGGAGAGTTAGAGGATTACCATCTTTCAAAATTGCAGATCCTAGTTGACCACCAAGAAGTTCCCTAGAAATGAAAATAGTATAGCCACCTCAAAGTATGATACCATTTGGGTTCGGCTATAGAATTGGAAAAATATTCTTGTTACATTTTTGTTAGAATTTTTATTACAAATTCTGAGTCTATAACAAGCTTCAACCAATTTTTTCAAATACATATTGAATATAGTTTAAATTTTAGTCTTTATCAATATTACTCCTGTAGATTCAGTGATTTTGAAAAATTTCATTTTTTGTAGATTGTATAATAAACTTTTGATAGTTTCCAAACTATACACTTTGAATAAGATGGCATGGTTAAGAACAAGTCAGAAATTAGTAAACCAGCTTTGTACTGATAACATAATTTCACTGGCATTTTTGGTTACTTTGGAAATATTTTGCTATGAATAGAAACTCAGAATTATATTTTTCTAACCTTCAAATAATGAGTGATCACTATAAATTAAATTAGATTATAAAAGCTATCTGAAGCCTCTGACGTAGAGTAAATCCAAAACAAGCATTTTTCCGATACCCTTCGCGACGCGTATTTTCCCAACCAAATTGACGTCTTCAGTTTTCTTCATCTTCAGAAGATGCTAACTTCGTTGATGAAACGCGTGTCGAAAAGAGAACCGGTTTTGGTGTTAGAGGAAAGTGCTTGTTTTGAAAATTAGGTTATGTTAAAATGTCAATTTCCCTTGGGTTATATAAGCCAATGTCTAAATTTCGAGTTTAAAGTCAAAATTTCCTAGTTAAAATTCGGAATTTCCAAGTTTTGAGTTGGAATTTCAAAGATTAATCTCGAAAAAGTGAGTTGTAAGTCAGAAAAAAATAATAATAACTAGTGTGGCCCTTCTTTGTTTCTTTACAAGTTAATAATATCATTAAGGAAAATATGTTTAAATAAAAACTTCCTAAATTTAGGTTTTCAGAGCATGCATCACTTTTTTTTTAACAATGGTGTATAAACGACCCAATTTAAAAATGTCAATCCTTATTATCAAAGTAAAAGTTTGGTGTATCAATCAGACATAAATCTCTTAATAAAATTTAAAAATGTTTTGAAGGTGAACAAGATAATTTATCACTATAGGACAAACTACAATATCCACAGTTCAAAGTGTCAAATGTAAAAACCAGTTCTGCATTACTTAATAATGAATATTAAACTTCTTACCGCGACTCTTCCTTTCCTGGGTTTTTTCAACTCCCCCATCTAATAAGTGGGTTAATTCCAGAACATTAAAGGAGCATTTGTTTCTTTCCTTGACCAAATCTGGATTGATTTTGTCTTTAACAGATATCATTTTTCCAACACCCACTTGTATAAAATCTCAATTATTTATAGAATATATTAATCTCGTATCTGTTCGTGAATCCACTTCACTAATTCTTACATTTACGTATGTACTAGAAAGTGGAAGGATCAATAATGATCGTCAACTGGTATCGTGATATCCCTCAATCAGATTTTGGATCATCGGATGATGGGTCACTGGAACAAAACAAATAATGTAAACACACGTGACGTGTCTGACATGGAACAGAAACTTCAAATTATGAGAGAGTGTGTTCCAAACAGTGAAATGTAAACTATGCGTAGTATAGTATGTTCGCAGTATACTTATATACAGTAATCCCACTTCGGGTGATTTTTGGTTTGAATATTCTACACGCAGACCCAAGAGTTGCAGTCTGTGGTCTGCGCAAACGACGGGTTCAAGACAGGCACGCAATCCTTCCATAGTTGTCGAATTTCATGGGTTTCACCCAACCTACTGTGTTATATTATTTTACAACTCGTGAAAAAATGTTAAAGGTAGTCTCTTATTCCATCAAATTCTGATTGTAGGAATATTACTGGATGAGGCGTCGGTCCATATAAAGGTATAGTCAAAATACATTTAGGCTTCTCAGTGATTCTATTGTCAATTTTTACTTGGGTAAAAGCTGAAAACAGCAAAACACTATTAATTATCATACGGTGTAAATAATTCATAACTTCCGACTTCGACGAAATCTCTTCTATATATTCATTATTAGTACATACATACAAAAAATATTTTTGTATGATTGAACACTACACAATTACTTTTTTACTTCTTCAAGTCCTAAACACTGCTTAACATAACAACTATATGAATAGTTGTTATGTTAAGCAGTGTTTAGACGCTTTCATTGAGATTGTAGTAGGAGAAATGTCATTGGTGTCAAATACGTCAGCATTGTAAAAACTGGAACTCCTGGAGTGTCCTGGACACCAACATCAATGGGACCGACGCTAAGTGGGACTACTGTATATAAGTATACTGTGGTATGGTAGAGTTCACTCTCAGACTCGTTCACTCTCAGATTTGTTACTCTGATAGTCCACTGGTTCCAAAAGTATGAGGGCAACCATGACAATTCTTGCCGCGAGAGAACGCTGAGGGGGTTGAGGTCACTTCTCGTGGTTCTTTCGTTTTTACATATGGATAAAATGAAATCATTCGAACTATGTGACTAGGCTTTAGGAAATCTTTCAGAAAAGGAAAATTAGAGGCCAACGATACTAGGGCGGAAAGCGGTAATGTGACAAGTACTGCCGCCTAGTCAGAGCCGATTTCTTATGTATCCTAACAGGAATGATGGTAAATGCTATAAGTGTTGCCATTTTTTAAATATATCAGAACATTTTTTGTCTAATCGTTAATTTTGTTTTTCATATTATTTCATTTATTAAATTTTTTGTTGAATTTTTTCTTCTCAGATATATTTCCTGCCAACTTGTAATCATTCAAAGTGATATGTTTCTTGTACCTGATAAGCCATTGGCAGGGATATGTTTATCACTTGAAAATGTATTCTACAGAAATGAACTTTAAATGTTCAAGCCCGTCTCGTATATATACCTACACAGTAGGTTGAATGGACTGACGCCTATCAGAAAACAACTACTCCACTGAAAATTACTGGAGTTTTTTCCCCAACACCAAATCGTTATTTTTAACACCTCGACACGTGTTTCGATCACCAAGTGATCCCCAACACCAAATCATTATTTTTAACACCTCGACACGTGTTTCGATCACGATTAGTTTTAATCTTCCTCTTTGAAGATGATCATTTGGTGATCGAAACACCAAGTGATATTCTGACGCCTATCAGAAAACAACTACTCCACTGGCTAATACCAGGAGAACGGCGTTGGATTATATCCGACAGGCATCAGTGGATACTAATAGAATATACTCGCTCATGCTTATCTGAATATTCGCATTGGTAGTAAAAGTGCACTCTTCAGTAAAACACCCTGTGATATACATGTGAGCTATTATCACTGATGTTTTGCCTCTTTTATTTTTATTATTCTCATTGATAAAATATCATATTTGAATACTTATTATCCTATTCCCCACGAAGATTAATCTCAAAATCACAAAAATCATAAAAATTGGTCCAGCCGTTCTTGAATTGAGGTGTTAAGAATGACGAATTGGTGTTGGGGAAAAAACTACAGTAATATTCATTACTACACCAAAGATTCCAAACAGTGCATCATAAGTATCTCTAGTGTGTACCTGATATACTGTACACTCATATGTAATTGTATTTCATTATTATTTGACAAATATTTATTCAATATCTCCAGATATGTTTGAGACTGAATATATGAACGAATGAGAGAAATTAAAATTTCAATTACGGTCATTTATTGGAAACGGATGAAACTAAACAACCGAAGAATGGTTGGAATAATGTCTAATTTAATGTAAATCGTAGACAAGTTTTATAGAAGTAATTTTATTTGAATTTTAGTTGTTCTTGCGAAAATATAAGTGCAATATGTAGGCACTTTCTTTCTATTTAAAAAATATTCTCAGTACTGTAACACTGTATTTGAATATATCATTGTAGACAAGTATTAATCACCGTTATACTTGAATTCATGCTGTGGTGACTATTATTTTTAGCAATAAATTTGTTATATGACTGGAAAATGCTTTATTTTCAATACAAAAATATAGAGTGATGAAAAGAGGGCTACTGAAAATATGAATATAACAAAATAATGGGACAACGGGGAATGTTCCTCAATTTGGGTTATTACAGCAAATGCAAGTTTGAACTAAATAAAGTTTAATTCATAAATTCATAAAGTAAATAAAGTTTAATTCATGATTTTTTCAAATTCACTTCGAAAAGTATTCAAATTGATGTTTCAAATGTTGGGTTTTAATTTTTAAAGGGATTTGTTTCTAATTCACATATTGGCAACAGCGCCTATATCAAGTTGAAATAATTTATACGTACCTAGATATTCTACTTTAAAAAAGAAAAATTATCTTTATAAATCAACAATTGAGGCAAAATATAAATTATAGTTCAAGCCACATAAACAACAGTTGTTTTGTTATTTATTTATATATAGGAAAATAGGTTAGGTTCACAAAATGTCATATATCACAGAATGTCTCGAAACTCGGAACTTAAGTAAACAGAACAGCACGCCTCTGAAATATGTCATCTTTGTTTGTTTCATACAGGTAACAGATTCATTGTCCTTTATTAGCTATAACCGATGTTGCCAAATGGTGAAATAATAACGAATCCCTTTAAATGTTGAATGCATTATTTCATTCCTCTTTTTCAAGTATTTAAATAATTTTTTTAAAGAAAAAGGTTAAAATGATAAGTTTAAAATGCGTTGTTTTAGAGCTCTTTCATGAGAACTACTTTCATCGAGAGGAACATTCTCCATTATGTATGGTTTCCCATATTTCTTTAATTTCCATGAGAAAAGCATATTAGTTTGGAACATGCGCTGCATTACACTTCAAAATAGAACTGCCTGCTATATGACATAGAAAACAGCACTCGATCGTCAAAAACATAGAACACAAATCACAGAAAACACAGAACATAAGTAATCAGAATCTCTTATTTTTCACTGAACACAGCTATTGTTTACATATGAATGTCATCCGTCAACGAATGAGACCGTTCGTGTATGCGCAAGCGCATTGTTTAAAGCGTTTGCGTGCAGATATCTGGTGTAAATATGGCGTCGCAGGAGGAGGATAACAAACTAGAGTGTTTTTCAAATGTAAACAAAGATCAAGAAAGATACTTCTTAAATGTTTATAAGGTGAAAAACATAATTTTCGTGCTTATTCTTCATTAGTTCTTATAGTTTTCGCATGTTTTTTTTGTGAAGAAAGTGTATAGTTTCATATTCGCATGGCCGCCATGTTCCGTCGGTGATTTTTACAGAAAAATTGAAGAATTTAGACAACATACATATGTATACCACAACAAAATCGTGAACGGAAGTATTGGCTCGTTTGTGTAGACTGAGTTTCTTTAAGTGCCTCAATTGATATGTCATCTTGGTAGCTACCAAAGCAAAACAATTACTAGTAGTTTGTTTAATTCCGTGAAACAACGTTACTTCAAGATGAGTTTAGTAAATGAAGACCTAAATATTTTGGCACAATTCAAAGCACGTATCTATGTTATTTTATTTTAGTTCTTTGGTAAAAGTGATTTCAACCAAAACTACTGTACTATCTCTTCAGACAGACCCATTTCTTTCATAACTTTTTTACTTATTTTGATTTGTTGAAAGATTCAATACTGTACACAATTATCGAGATTTGAGGAAATCAAGTTCATTAGTTTTGATGAAATCACTTAGCTAGTTTCATAGAAGTTTATCCCATGTAATGCATTTAATAGTAGAAGTGGAGAATATCATTAGCTCTCCATTTATATGAAATTTTCAGGAAACGTTCAATACGATGTAAATTGATCAAGGAAATATAAAATTGGTTTAAAACATTGGTGAGGTACCTTGTTCAAGAGGATATATGACAAATCCACCATACAATTTAGTCAAATTGCTTCATTTTACTTTTAGAAAGTTTTTGTACCATTTCATGAGATACATAAGTATTGTCAAAACCAAATACGTTGTCTCCACTATGCTTCTGTTGAGAGCAGGAAAAAATATACACTGACCTGGGAAGTATTCACAGCCACTGGAATGTCTGGGCTGTCGACATATATAATGTTACAACTAATTTGAACTGAAAACTGTTTTCAAACCAATTTTATGTATATTTGAAAGTTATTTGTACCATGAGCAACAAATATTGTATAAATTGAAATATGTCAAAATTCTAGCTGTCTATAATCTTGAGAGAACGTATGAAACCGGCTGTAAAAAAAAAGACGTTTTTATAATTTTTTTGTTTGTTTACTCAATTTGGTTTGTTTTGAAATTTCCTGAAAGTTTAATCAGAATTTGAGAATTGCCAATAATCTATGTTTTGTAATTTTATACATATTCAATTAGTTTTTTCATTTCTTTCACAATAAACTAGTATTTCATACATACAGTATTAGATTTATTGTTTCGAAAGTGACTTTTGAATTTGTATATTTCTGTTATATTTTCAAGAGATAAACATTCTATCTAGGAGCTTACTCCCACACCAGTATACAGCAACTTGAATTGAATCTTCTGAGAAAATGTTATAATTGAATTTACAAATATTACACATCTGTATAGCTAGCGAATGATATACTTTGAAAGTAAACGCAAACTGGATAAATGGTACGGGAGTACGCACTTACAGGAAAAATGACCAGTGAATACTGTTATTGTTATGTTTTTTTTTTTGCAGAAACATGAATATATTTTGAATAACAAAAGTGAGACATTCAAAAACAAAATTGAATCTCTCATAGATGTTTGGAAGAGTATCGGAGAACTGAATCTGTCTCAGTTTGACATTCGCCATGTCATTCAGATTATGGACTGGGCTAAATTGCATGCGTTGAATATTGTCCTCACTGCTGAATGGAATAAGTTTAAGGGTAAGCCTTATTTATTGGAGCTTGGAATTTTATTCATCTTATAAGTATTCTAAAGTATTTGAAAATGATGTACAGTATCAGTATTCTTTTCGGCATGTGTAGCTTTTATAAGTATCACTGTGGATAAAAATTGTTTGGTCTATTCAGGTCTTATAAGAGCTAAATTTTTTCTCAGTGAAATCGAAAATGAGATAGGAAAAGTTGATACTGATTCCAATTTTGTTTCCAGATATATCAACTAAGTTTTTACTTAGACTAGTTGAAATCTCAAAATAATAGGACAGTCAACTCTATCAACCAAACGAATAATTGAATAGCCAGAGTGGCCACTTTATTATTATGTTTACCATTTCTTCGGTGGATTCTTTTATCTGACAGATAAGTCTGTAGTATCCTTTTCATTGTCGATCTGCTGCGGTGACTATTTATTATTTATTGTTCAAATTTGTTATTGTTATGCAGTCAGCAACTTAGATCTGTTTTCATGTTATCTTTGTTATCGAAAAGAGGATTGTAACATTCGTGGGTGCTTACTCAATACTGTGACACTTTTGGAAATCTTGCATATTATGAATTTTCGCTGTGATATTTGTTGGATTATTATAATGGCAAAATAAACTTGAACGAAGTCAGCATAGGCAGCCATAATACTAGGATAAAACTTTAAACCTGATTCTTGAAAAAGAATCGGGGTATGATTTAATTCAAATCTGAAGAATAAATTCTTTTAATAAGCGTGCTTATGAAAAATATATATACATCCCTTCGTCCTATAGGGACATTTTCGAAATTATACATTAAACTATAAATGAATAATATTAGTATCTCTGTAGGTAATAACATAGGTACTTAACTCAATTGAGTATCTGAGTTTTGTTTACCCTTGACAATGTGGGTACTCATTTTTCATATAAAAAGTACCTGTTTGAGGACATGTGTATTATTGATGTTGTCTCAACCATAGTCCTAAAAGTTGAAATTCTGAAAATATCAATAATAATAACAATAATACCCCTATCTATTTCCTAAAAGTGAACAATGTTCACGAAAAAAATATTGTCAACAGTGTCAACAATAAATTATGCTGTTCTAATCCTATCAAACAATCTTTGAGTGGGATATACAAGACAAAGTCTAAGGCAAGGAAACTAAACGTTATATAAATGCTTTAGTGGAAACTTTTTTGAGACTTCAAGATTGATACTATGATAGAGACAAGAAGTAGGATGTTTAAATCGAACCCGAACATATTTGATGTTTCATTATTTAACATTGAATGTATCGATAAAAATGAGATAATGAACTTCATTTTTATTTCAGGTACCTATCAATCTATGCTTCTGCAAGAAATTGAAAAGGCTCAAAATGAACTTTTGAAATTGAACAGTGCTTTTGCAACCAGATGTAAAAAATTGTCTGATGTTGTGAGAAACCCTTGGGAGGATCCTGTTTTGATGACACTTATGAAAACAAAAGATTCTGAGATTGGCCCAGAAGGTAAATTCAAACCTTTACCAAACTGAAATTGAATGGTAAATAGCAACTTGTTTTCAGAAATTGAATTCTTCTGTGTAGAAACGGCTTACATAGTATCTGTACGTTTGAAAAAACTCTGCGAATCTCATTGTGAAGATTTGGCGTTGAATTTGGTAACAGCTTTCATGAACTGTAACAAACTCTCAAAATCACACAATTTCAGCCTAAACGCCACTGACACCCAGATGTGGTTCATTTTTGATATTTATATAGCCTTGCTGTACAAGTTCCAGGAGAAACAGAAAATTGTTGTATTGGTAAGTCCAAAAACATTACAATTATACTATTATATGTAAATTATTTTCTCAGATATTTTGAAACAATTCTTATTTATTGATTGACTGTAAACAGTGCCCTATATAATTCAGTGATCATTATCTTGCCAAAAAAATATCCAGAAGTATATTTTCTCTCAATCTCTCTTTTACCTTTTGAAATTTTTATTATTATAGTAATATGGAGTATACAATTGCTCATGACCTAGTTTTAATTTGATTTGGAATAAAGTTATTACCTTCTCAAATGACCTACAAGCTTTTAAATAGTGGGAGTGCATAAAAAGAAGGAAAAAGGAGTGAAATAATTTGCAAATCGTTTATTGATGAAAGTTCTGGGAAAGTTGAGGTAGCAATTTTGAAACTGTAACAAAGTTTAAAAACTGAAACAAAAGGGTTACAATTTATTTTTTTTAATATTATTTACCTAATAAAAATCAGTTTATGCAGGGCTATTCTAAGTCATTGGAAATATGTTTATATCAGAACATTTCAGATACTTGGTGAAATTTTTGATAAATCATGTGTTGTACATGAAAAGAGTCAGAATTATAAGCCATGATAAAAAAAATTGAAATTATTTGATAACCATCAAATTACTGAAACTCTCTGGAATACCGGAAAATCTGTATTTTTACTATATTATATGACAACTGCTGATCGAAAAATTGCTACAAAAGTAGAGAGAGGTAATATGTCTTATTGTATTCACAGTGTGACATGGTTACAAAGTTTATAAAAAATAGAACAAAAATAACACAAACAGGAAGGTCTCAATATAATTTTTAAAATGCATAAGTTGTAAATTCTGAGTAAAATTGTAATATACTCATACTTCAGATACAAATGTTCAAAACATGAAAAGCAATAAAAAATAATGAAACAGTAAATTATTCGTTGAAGTGATCTATCAGTTTTTACTACCTTTCTCTCCTTGAGAAGTACAATATCTTTGGTTTCATCCATTGTGAATGAAAATGATCTTTGAATGCAACGAAGTTCAATATTATTTTGTTTAGTGAAGTAAGGTAGTTGGGGTGAACCAAATCTGCTGATATATTTTTTTATTACTGTGACAACTTCTAGAATATGAATGAAAACGCTTGAGGAAGAAGCTATTAGCAAAACACGTGTTGTGGTTTTTGTAAGCTGTACAATGAAAACGTCACAATAAAGTGTTACTTGAATAACTTTTAGAACATACATAGTCATTGCCGTTAGTATCACATGATCTTTAAATAAACTTTCGCAAGAACTGCAATAATCAGCCATGGAAATATACTTGAGAGAACTGGTTTCAACAAAGCTGGAATTGGATCAGAACAATAACTACAGAGCTACTCACTGGATAAGTAAAATTAATCTCTTGCAAAAAAAATTTAAAAAAGTACTTTTTCCATACCAGAACAAAAACCTGTCTCTCATCTAAAAGTAGTTTCTCTGACTAAACTAGTGTTAGTCATCTTGTGATAATGCTTAGTTAGTCAAACACGTGTAACAGGCAGTATTTTTTGTTCTGCAGTGAGAAAGTTGTTTTCAATAGATGATTTTGAGTCTATGAACAATTATGGTACAATTCTTAGGATAAATTATTTATCGGTTCAATAGATCCACAATTATCAGAATACTTACTTGGAGATGAAAACATTTTTTTCATATCCTGATGTGAGAAAAGTTTTTTCTTTAAAGTGCTACGCACAAACATTATGGAAAATGGCTTTCGGTGAATTCTGCTGATTTTTTGGTATGATGAACTTTTCAATGTCCTCATAAAAAGTCTCTACGGACATAACGAAAAATAATGGACAGTTTTTCAGAAAAAAATTTCTTAAAGTCTGCAAAATGGGGAATTTGGTAGTAAAACGGGAGAAATAGGCCTTGTTATTTTGCAACTTTATGCCTCTCGGAAATTGTAGCATGCGCTTTAGCAATTCTTTTATGGGTCTTGTGTCTTTACAGCACAATTTGCCAATAATTGCAGACCATACAAGGTGACGTATAAAGCCATAATCCAAAGAATAAAAAAAAATATTTTTTTAACATTATGAAAACAATAGATTGTGAGAAAGTTAGTCTATGGATATGGTTTTATAGAAGATGATTCAGTTGATATATAGGGGGTGATACAGGGGACAATAATGGAAGTCAATTGTATTACAGAATATGTACGAAGAAATGCGTCGCAAGATTTATTGAAGAATAACAGTTTGTGGAATTTTAATGAAATGAATAATATACATTGAGATACTTATTAATGAACAAATTACCATTAAAGAGTTTGTTGCACGAACTGAATCTCATTCAATCAATAATATGAGGTTCCACCACATTACGATTTCCCGCATCGACAATGTAGTCCAACAAGTTTGTTAAAGGTTACTTGACATTTGGTTAATGTCTGGCATATCCAATCAACCGTAGAACACTTAATATGTGAACACACGTGCCCAGTGTTCTGGTACCTGCCTTACAAAAACAATAATAACCTGTTATAGGGTTATTATTTTCGATTTTGTACTGTATCCACATATATTTTGTGTCATTGTGATGACGGAAAAAAACTCTGAAACAAAGTAATTCGGGATATCGAAGTAAGGTATTAAAATGAAGTCCATTTGGTGCTTACCTCTGATTTGAATCTTGCACATAAGAAGAAGTCTCAATTAATATATACCGACAGTAAAATCTCGTAAATAGTCCAGAGTCAAGCTAGGAAAATGAGGAAAATGATCATGATCCAATGATATCCATCTTTCCCGTCTCCTCCTGAGATTTTCTTTCTTCTATTATGTACCCTATTCATCTGGCGAAATCTTTCCAGAATCAGTTCGGCTAATTCTGCATCTACCCCTTTCATTTCAATCACTGGGTGGTATTTGTTAATAATTGCTCCACAAATAAAAAGAAAGTCCCACAAATAATAAAGGTGATGGATTGATGTTGTGGACGAAAAAAACTTAAAGATTGATTTCATGTGTCCATTGCACATCAATTATCCACGGGGTTTTGGTCACGAGGCGAGAGGCATTAACCTCCAATTAATCTTGTTACAAGTTTTTTCGTACATATATAGTGTTGTAACTTGTAACCTTATCAATATACCCATTTTTTTTACTTCCATTATTTTTCCTTGTATCAGCCCCTATAATGTGTGACACAGACTCATGGTACACCCCCTTTTCTCCTTTATTTCTTTAGCAATATTTCTGAAACTTGGAACATTGAATATGCTCACTAGACCACACTTTTTGACATATTTGTGAAACAAATTCAACTTCCGGTTTTTCCGGAAATGACAACTTTCAATTTTCAAATGGGACATTCTGTGTATTATTACCTCAGTTAGGGATGATCATGAGGAATCCAACGACACTAGGTTTGATGGTGTTACCTCTAATGACTACGGAGATATCGCCGTTTATCTTATTAATAAGCTCAATGAGTAGGACAGAGAAACTTTTTCTGAAGGACATCCAACTCCATCATATAAATATGATCCCTGTGTTATGCATGATAACCATGCAGATTATGATGCAGGATAAAGGAAGATATATGTTTCTGGTCGAATATTAGGCATTGGTATATGTATAAAAAAGGCAGTGTCAGTAAATTGAGGTTCATGAAAGCTTCTCTGCACTCGGATTCATATTCAGTACCATCCACAATTCTTACTGCTGTGCATTGTAAACCAAATATTCTAAACGCCGACTCTGCACTACCCCATGTAAGTAAGGCATCTAATTCATGATTGAGCGAATGAGTATTCTACTATCTTGAATAATAATAATAATAATAAATGCTTTTATTGAAAGGTTACTCAGTACAAGGGATACTAATCTAACCTAACAAATGGTAGAATTCAACGTCTGCGCATGACGAATCAAGGCAGAAATTGCTCTTCCATCCAACCAGTAAGAGATAACTTATAATAATACACATTGTTTGCTTAATTAAAACTAGAAAGAAGAAAAAAAAAGGAAAAAAGGGAGAGAAGCAGAAGAAAAGTAGAAAAGAGAGGCAATAAACGAATAAATGAAAATTATATGTTCNTGGTTCAAGCCCTAGTCTGAACGATCGATCTTCACTTGCTATCGTCCAACCCGTGTTAGGAATCACACGTTAAAAGGTAACACCTCGTTAATCCTTAGCTCGCACAAGTTTCGACTTCTGAGGGTTGTCGTTCGTAGGGGTGCGACAGCTGGTTAACGGAAAAACAGATTTTAAACAGATTTTTAAACAGTTCACAATATTTTTTGAGTTCTGGGAAGGTCTTGTATATCATATACTACAAAAGTAACACGTAGTTCACAGCTTTGGATTTTAATTAGACTTGAACATGAGCGGCCTTATCAGCATGTCCGTGAGCGCATTGAATTAAGGGTTTAGGTAGCATACAGTCATATAACTTCCTAGAATGATCTCTACTTATCTAATTGAATCCGAAAATGATAATTGAATGATATTCATGTATTAAATGCATTTCTCCAACAATTTGACATACCTAAACTGGGCAGCAAACTATAGTTTTTTTATGTCAAACATACTAAATACTTTTTGTAAATCAATAAATGTCAATATAACAGTTATTTTTATTGATTTCCCCCCATTGAGAGGTCCAGTATTGTTCCTTTCTTTTTTGAAATCATCGAAAATGTTTAATATGATTTAATTGACACTTTAGTGACACTTTGTCATTATGAACAAACACAAAGAATGTATAATTCTACAGTATTTGCCAAAAAAATATACTTTTAATAGTTACACACAAACTTTGAAAAAGTCCCTGAAATTAGGCCATATATCCAGTTTTGGCAGGTATCTAAGGACGCAGAACTTAGCTTGTCCTGGCTTGACCTGGGTTTAAAGGCTTATCATGTATTGTAAGTGGAAGAATTAATATTTGTGCAAAGTATCAATTTTTTATTATTTTGCTAGGATTCTTATTTTCATTGCCTTTTGGCGATACATCACATTTCTCTGATATCCAATTGTAGGACATATCAGATACTGATGTGCTCTTCTTCAGTTTATATTCACGATTCATTTAAATTGTTACAGTTGAAAGAATTGACATTCGAAGAGGGACTGCAATTAGTGAAGCGTTTTGCTAAGAAACGTGTAAAAATATCAAAAATTTGGAAAAACTGCCATAGAGTAGCTATTTTAGCCACACAGATGTATATATCACAGGCTGTTGTAAAGTATACAGAGGAGCTCAAAGAATTTCTAGAGAGTTATTTGGAAATTTATATTTCACTCTGCAGCACTGAAAGTCTCCTTCAAGAATTCCCAACATGTATTCGGCGTATAAGTAATTTAGCTGACGCTGCTGGACTGTTATAAGTATAGGGAAATTTTGCAGTTAAGGATTTTTGGGTTAGCAAAGGTTTGTCTAACGAGTTTGTTAGATTCTATTACATTCTCAGAAATGTACTTCGTTTTGTTGACCTGATAGCTGTTTTGATCATTGAGCGTCAGCAGTATCGGGCTTGGCTATTTTTGACTGAAGATAAATTGCAGACTGCCAGCCATTCTATTTGCGAAAAATTCCTATTTTAAAGTTTACGAAATACACAAAGGTAGCAACCTGAATTTTCACTGTTAGTTGGTGCTACATATGTTTCGTCGCCTTCAAGGCAGGAAGTTTTCACAAATAGAATTTCTGGCAGTCTGCAATTCATCTTCAATCAAAAATAGTCAAGCATGGAACTGATGAGGCACAACAATAGTTGTCTGTCGGTTGACTCTTTGAATTAAATGAAAATGACAGACAACCAGAAGTTTTATTACTTTTGTTGCATATCTGAAATAACCAACTGGGAGTTGGTTAGTCTATTCTGAGTGAACAAGAATGCAGTGGAATCTCTCATGTATGCCAGTATGGTTGCTGTAGAGTATATTCCACAAGATGGTCCACAGATAAAATTCCAGACATGGAGGGCTATAGGTTACCTGGGCCATGGGAGACTGCCTTCCTGAAATTCTTACCTACCTCAATACCTTATCTTACCTTCCTGACAAAGGAGGTCGCAGAATGACCTCCGATGATAAATCACACACTGTCAACTTTGGAATGGATTATTCTGTAAATCTATCAAGATGGCTGGCTCTAGTAATAACATACGTATGTTTTGCAGAAAATGTGATAAAATTACAGGAAACTATTTTAAATGTATTAATTGTACAAAGTGTAAGTGTTACAATACACAGTGAGGTAAAAGGACATGTTGAAATAGGAGTTATGTGGTAGAATCAAAATTCAACAGGAACACATCGAATTGTTGAAAATTTACGAATTTCGATAAACAAAGTTCAGCCATCTATTTACGGACTATTTGATTAACTGTTCGAAATGTTCATTCTGCTCTAAACAGTAATAAAGTCTTTTCAAATTCCTCCCTAACATTTCGGGAAATTTTACCAAAAATTGAGCAGCATGCTCATGGGATTCGTATGTTTCGATATTTTTTTTCCACATCTGTATGTAAAATGTTTTTAAATACAAGGTATTAACTATTAAATAAAACAAATTATTCATTGTTGATATTTCAATGATTTAATAACTTTATCAAGGTATTATTCACAGAGACTCACAGTTGACCATACACTACAGCATGTTTGTCTGTTTCTTTGGAGCTTGAAAGTGTAAAACATTTGTATATTGCTTGACCACAGAGTTATCAGGAATCAGCTTCTTATAGTCAGGTTTAATATCCATTTGATTATCATAATAATTATTTATTAAAAAAAAATCTATAAAAACGATGATAGTGACACTTTGCTCAGCCGTGCTTTCAGTGTAACATATTTATATTGCATATAATTATTAAAAAGTTTGTCATAATGAAACCTTATTTTGATCTTGTGGTATAAACAACTTAAACAACTTTATTATCTTTTTTTATCATTATCATATCGAATTGAAAAATTATAAATTCAAAATATCAATTATATTGAAATTAATAATTTATTGATTATTCTATTTAGGCTGGTAGAGAACTGAAACCATTGGTAATAGAGATGTACATCAGAGCATTAACAAGTGATATGAATGAATTAGAGCGACAGAAAGATGGCAATGAAACGGAAAAAGCCACAGCAACCACATCCAGATTGGCAGAAGCTTTTTGTAACCTAGCCGACTTTTTGGATGAGCACGTTAAAGTGGCAAGAGAGTGTGTTTTAACGGCTTTCAGTTTAGAACCCACCAAAGAGCGTTTAGCAAAAATCGAAACGTTGGCAAGAAGAAGTGGATTTCAGGTTTTGGATACAGGGCAAGAGTGGAAATGTAAATTGCATCCACCTGTTCTACCAACTGATGAAGTTACATGGATTTGCCCTGAATGTGGGGATTGGATGTCTAAGCCTGATTTCAATGCTCCCATCAAAATAAATATGGCTCTTAATGAAGCCCTTCAAAATTCTGTTCTAGGAATTTCTGAAGCATTATGTGATGATCTTGTTGTGTGTTTATCAAACCCTCGTTATCAGATTCTCAGTTGGTTTTTACCATGGGATGATTTACACAGACTCTGTATAATGTATTCACAAGATTCTCAAACAACCAAGAATTTTGTAACAGAACTAAAATTTGTTGATATTGATTATTCTATATTCAAAGGTATTAAACGTGAACCCATGGATGAATTAGCAGGAATTGAAAGAGGCTATGAACAATATTTGGATCATGACTTTGTTTCTGATGATGACTCATCTTCTAACAGTGAAGACTCAATGTCACAAGATTCGCGCCCTTATAGTTTGGGCAGTGATGGTGCTGGAGAAGGACCACATTCAACGATGCTCCTACCACAAACAAAATCTGATCCAAATACTTTGAAAAGCCTTAGAATGTTCAGACCGAGTCTAAAGAGATCAAGAGATAAAGAACTCGATGAAGTAACTCCTAAAAAGTTGTTCAAGACAGACCCAAAAACTGCTAGTGACAGTTCAACTATGATCTCTAGTGGTGAAATGAATACAAAAACTAATACTAATGACAGTTTGAGTCATTTTTTGAATAGTGTTTCCTGTACAGACTTGCCTGCAATTCAGTATCCACCGTCAAGTATTTCATCGATGGATAAGTCTAATAATAATGGTTCTCATTCAAAAAACGTAAAGACTGCCACGTTGCCTCGACTTGGTGGGCAGGTGGCGAAGAAGGAAATCACAACAATCCAAGTAAACAAACAACGACCAACTCCCTCTCTTCAAAAGAAGGGACTTCCTTCTCTCTCGATAAATTTAATACAAGCAATCATTCCCCAAAAGCAATGTGCTTACAACAGCAAAATGGCAACTGCAGAAACACATCCCAGTCAGAAATCACAAAACAAGCTCTCACTGAATTTTTTGAGAGAAAGCAACAGACTCAAAAAAGCAGGCAGCAAGTGTCAGGATTTTTCTCTTGTCAGTCAGAAGTTTCCACTGGATCTGAAACAAAATACAGATCAGAAACAAACAAGTTCATCCATCATGAGGAGTTGTCCAAAGAAATTGTCTGTCAAGTTGGAAAGACTGAGAGCGGATCAGATCCAAAGTATGATGAGACAGAAATTGCAGAACAAACTATCAGAAACAGTTCAACGATCAGAAAAAATGCAACCCCCACAGATCACCTCTCAAAGTACTCAATATCTTGGTCAAAGCCAGGTTCACAAGTCAGTTTCTCCAGAGAAGCAGGAACCGAACGAGAATCAATTTCAGAATCGACTAGATTCACCTCCAAATCTGGATCTGTCTCCAGTGGCATTAGTCTACCAAGAAAAATTACCGAACAAGCCCTTTGGCCCGAGGCCGTTTGCAAAAAATCCACTGGATACGGCCATTCTGGAAATGGCAATAGTCGAGAGGCCTCTTCTGAAAAGTTTTACCCAAACTTCTCAAGTTCTAACGTCTCCAACGAAAAAAAACACATCTGTCTCGAATCAACCTCAGGAGGGCAATTTGATACACCAACAGGATCTGGATTCGGCACAATGCCTGTCAGTCAAGCAAGACCAGATACAAAAAACCAAGTTACCTCCCCCAACTCCTCTGAAAAGCATGTCTCCAAAAAATTCTCGACAAGTTCAAGACAGCATGATTTGCCAATCTCATTTGAAGCATTCGGTCAATCTAGAACAGTCACAAGCTACTCAAGTGCCCCAAACTTTGAAAAACAGGTCCTCTCAGCAGGAACAAATTCCAAACGAATCAGTTCACCAACCCATTCTGGAACAGAAACAAAACAGTGTAGTCAAGCAAGAACAGTCTCAAACTACACAGTTACTCAGCACCCCAAAATTGATATGCAACTCTCCCCAAGCTCAAAAATCAATTCAAGACAATTCATTGCACCATCCCAATCTGGACCAGAAACCAAACCATTCAATCAAGAAAGATCAGTTACCCAAACTTCACCAGTCACAACCATTAACCTGTCCAGAAGTATCACACACCATAACACAGACCTTCGATTGCACCAAAATGTTGAATCTATCAAAACAATTGAGCACTCAGAAAGTGGTAGAGCAAATTCAGAAACCATTAGAGAGTTACTGCAAAGAGCCGCAGAAGCAACCAATTCAAGAAACTCCATTAGTCAACAGTTATCCTGCTCTACAGAAGTTGCTTTGCAACTCGGTTCACATACCCAGTCTGAAGAAACCATTAGCCCAAGAAGAAGTAATGCAAACCAGTTGTTCTCTACAGCCCCAAAAATCGGAAAGCAACTGTACTCAATCTCCCAAATTGGAGCAAACAAAAAATCAACAAGCCAATCAAAAAGAAGTTCTAGAGAATCAGAGGCCCTTCGAGAACAAATCCAAATGCTTCAATCAAGATCTGAATCAATTGTCCAGTCTAGAAAATGTAAAAGCCAGTCTTCCTGTGCGTCCACTACAATCGCAAAGTATTCCCCATCAAGTTCCCCACACAGAGGACTTACAGTCACAGATGATCACCAAAGAGAACGAGAATTGCAAGGAGATGGAAACATGTCAAGAGAAAAAGAAACCTCAAAAGAAAAACTCTGTTCAACATATCAGCCTGGGACAGGAACCGATTGTAAAACGAACAAAGTTAGAAACCAATCATATTTCCTGTCAACAGCAATTTCCAAACAGTATAACTTCATTACCTCAACCAGAACCACCACAACGCCTAATCAATCAACAACAACCACAGGAGAACTTAATAGTATCATCCACCTGCCCCAAATCCAATTTCGACCAGTCATGCAAAGTAAAGAACAACCTAGAAAAACAAATGACACAACCAAAAGAGCAAGTCAGTCCCAATCAGAATCAATTGCAAAACAACTCTTGCAGTTTGCCCAAAGCTCCCAGTCTCTCTCTCAATTCAGACAAATTGCAGACCTCGAAATCCATCAAAAACCATCCAAAAATCAGTTCAAAACAGAACTTGGACAAGGCTTCTGTTCAAATGACACCCAATCAAAACGTTGTATCACTGGTTTGTCCCAAAGTGGGCAAAGTCCCGTGCACACCGACAAAATCCAACCAAAATATCAGTATGGAAGCCGAGGTTCTGCCCAATCTGGACAGATTTCAGCCCAGTTGTACCAGACTTCTGAATCCAGAGATAGAATCTCACAGTCTGGACAAACTACAAGCCAGGTTGTGGCCGGGCTTGGAACAAGCAGACAAGGTCATGGTCATCAAATCACAGGAGTTCAAGGAAGTCAAAGCAGTAGACAAAACAACACAGACATCGGACAGCAAAGAAAGCCCGTTAAGTTGTCTAGAGCACAAGAAGAATTCTTGTACTTCGTCGGAAATTATGGAAAGAAATGAGTATACAAGCAAATGTGATAAAATTGTGGCCGAACTAGAAGAAATATTGAAGTGCAATAAAAATGAGAAAATTAACGTTATGAAAAATGACAGTAATCATGTTGTTAAGGATGAAAGCCTGGGAAATTTGAAGATTGCCAGTAAGCTTCAAATAACATATGAGAACTGGAAAGATGTTAAGACTACAAATGGTGGTTTGGAACAGATTGCTCAAAGTAAATCAAATTCAGTTGATTGGTTGGAAGTCACTAATGGGATTTTCTCCGACTTAAGTGAGAACAAATCCGAAGAATTATTATTTCAAAGTGGTATGGATCATGCTACTTCAACGGAAAGTGCTAAAATGATAAAAAATAGTCAGCCTCTTGAGGAATTACCAAAGAATTTCAATTTAACTGAGAATATCAGAACATATACTAAAAAATCAAGGAAAGCACTTTTAGTGGTAAATAAAGACTGCATTAAAGCACTGACTGGTGATGATGTATTGAACTTTTGTAAAAATGTAAATAATATTAATAAACTACATTCCAATGTACAAAATTCCTTGACCAATAGTAAAGAGTTGAAAATAATCCTGTGTCGGTTATCTTCGAATAAGAAAATGACAGCAAAGACTATGTCAAATAATAAAGAAGAGTACTGTAGTATCAAAAATAAATGTGATAGAGGAAAAACTCCTCCTAAAAATTCTAGAAAACGGTGGAATATGGACAAGTCTGAAAACAATGTTGATGGAAAAGCACCAAATTCAGTACAAAACCATGGTCTTTCACCACTTCAAGATATTAATCTCAGAACCAATCCTAGAGTGCATTCTAAAGTAGCATGTTGTGAATTGAATGTGTCAAATACAACAGAAGATCTCAAAGCACATTGTACCCTAACAGAACAAAATTCCGTTAGTAAAAAAAACTTGGCTAAAACTTTATTGGCCAATGTCCCTGGATTGAATGATTTTCGAATGATGAAACCGTTGAATGTTGATCAGATAGTTAATGTCGTTCAAGTGTCTGGTGGTAGACCAACTCAGAATGTACCTATACAAAATTCTCAAACAAGCACACAGATCACTCCTCATATTCAAAGAATTGGGCAGCCAAGAATAAGTAGTGATCAAAAACCTGAACATTCCAATTCTGTGACTGTGACAACAAACATAACAACAACAACTACCGCAAGGACAACAACGTCTCAACCTTCTACACTTATTAATATACTCTCGCAACAAATAATTCGGCCAACATCTTCTCAAGCCAACACTTTGCGACGACAGGCTCCCTTGATAAACATTTTGTCACAGCAAATTATAAGGCCATCTTCAACTGCAAAAACCACTAATAACACAACTGTTCCAGTAGCAGAAACTAATCAGGTAAAGCATGATTTGTATATGTATTTTTTCCAAACTAGACGAAGTCATTTCGTACTTCAAATTCAATCGGTGTTCAACAATCTGGTTATATTCATTGTATATCATTATTTTGTTTCTAACTTCAATGGGAGTATATTCAATTTTTTTTGTTTCAGGTCAAACCTGTTATTACTAGTGAACCTACTGTTATTAACCCTGGTAATAATGCAGCTAAAAATTCAACTTCCACTGTTAAGAACACTAATTCTATCAGTGCTGGTCAAGGAGGTACCATTCTCCAGTTTATCTGCAAATCTTCTTTGCCGAAATTTCAACAGGCATTTGGAAAAACTGTTTATCAAAATAGTGCTGAGTCCCCAGAATCTGTAGCAGCAACTACAGATACGACAGCAAATGTAACTGACATCAAGAATAATGTTAGTAAAGCTGTACCTGTGAACGTTCAACCTATTCAGGGTAGTGTTATATATAGTAGACAAGTTCCTGTTGGACAAACTATAAGTTTAATACCTCCAGGTGGAACAACACGCCAGGTTTTCAGAATTGCAACTTCAAATCCTGACCAAATCAGCCTTGTTAAAGATAGTGTTATCCATAGCAAAATGAGTGCTCTTTTGGCTGCTGCCTTACAAGGAAGGCAAAAGAATGCTGAAGGAGAACTCCAGGTGAATTGTGATGAAGGTAAAGGTGCTCCTATAGCTCGTCCCGCGTTGATGCAGAGTGCTAGAATAGTAAAACCAGTACAGTTGCATGTACAATCTAATGCAACCAGAGCAACACCCCAGACAAACTTGAGTTCTACTACCTTAGAACAACTTCGTGAGTTTGATATGGTATACAAACAAGTGACAGAAAGAAGTAGCACTACCACAAGTGAAACTGGCAGTGTAACCAGTGAAAACCAAGAAGTTACTCAGCAGAGAATTAGTGTTACCTACGTTAACCAATTACAGAAGTACACACCATTATCTCCTGTTGTTGTTGTTCCTAGCTACAGTAACTTGCAACCTGCTGCTTCTCCAGCATTGAGTGTTACTTCTCAGGGAAGTTCAAGCCCTTCTGTAACTCCTGCATCAACTCCCACTTTACCTAAAATGTCTACAAAGACATCCAAAGGCAAGACCTTGAAAAGTTCGCCAAATAACACCACTCCAAAGTCTTCGCCAATACCAAAACCCCAGCAGAAACCACAAGAAGATGAGCATACAGCTCAAAGAATCTTCAATATATTAGCAGAATATGCTGAACAGTTACGAAATTCCCCAGACTTGAATAACAAGCCTGCACCACGAAGAAGATCAAATCCACCTACGAATCCTAGTCAAAACTCTAAAAGGAAGAAAAGTTCCTCTGGTGTTAAGAAAAGTGGTAATTCTAGTAATTCTTTAGAAATGGATGTTGACGATATTACCATGGGTAGTGAAGACAGCTCCGGGGGAGGTATGGTACAACTTTCAGTAACAGATGACGAACAGTCACAAGCCGCTACAATCAATACGACAGAGTCCAGTGATAACTCAAGTCCGCCTAGTTCCAGACCGCTTATTTTGACTGAAAGTGGAACATGTGGCACCCCGTCTCGTAACCTCATCATTGCTGATTCAAGTGTTGGAGAATCACTGAAGATTCCAAATACAACAGTTATTATGCCTGGTAGCTACATTGTGCCCGTCTCTATGGTTAAAGGTAAGCCTCTCATTATTAGGCTCATTTGTATCATGAATAGAGAAAACAAACTCCCAAATGCTGCTAATACATCTTGTAATTCATCTGAAAAGACCATCACACCACCCGTTGATCATTGAAATATATTAGAAATACAGTGTGAAAAAGAGAAGTAAAACTTCCTATGTTTTTATACCACTTGTATTAACTAACGTTACTGCATTTTCATCCTATAAGGATATTTCCAAACGAATATTCGTTTGAAAAATTAGAGAAAAATCTTATTTTAGTGCTCCTGATTTGTTTTTTTAAGCGTCATTATTTTTCATTTTAAATGTTTTCCCTGTTCTACATCACTTTTTTTCTGAGTGAACTGAGACTCTTCTAAACCTAATATGCTTGAAAACTATTCCTAGGTTCAGAAAAAAAAATTGGTAGAACCATCCCAGAGACACGTAGAAAGTTCAACAACCCTAGCTTTGAAAAAATTAACTGTTATTTATCATTATATTCAAGTCAAAATTGGTAGCTAAAAACGTTCTATTTGTTCACTACTAGTGTATTTTTAATGACAATACATCATAAGTACTCAAAAGTAGAGTTGCTTAACTTTCTGCACCTTTATCTGTGCTGGTTCTACCAAGAATCTTTTGGTGGAAGAGAAGTGTTTGTCTGCATATTAAACGTTGTGAACCCTCCCAGGCAGACCAAGCAAGTTTACAAATTACGAAGAATAAAGTAAATCAGGAGCACTGCATTAATACCTATTCTCTAAGGTGAAAGATACCTGCAAGTTGTTTGAAAGAACCTAGTTGTCTTTCTTATTGTTACCTGTGATCTGCTAGAAAGTAACTGTGGATTAATGTAAGGAATCAATTTTCTGATTTTTAATAATATCCAGGGAACCCTGTATTGTTATTTTAATTCTTTGATTTTTCAGAAAGCTTTTATTTTTTGGTCATGAAGAGATTCGCATGTTAAGAATATTTGTTTTATTTGCTCCCAGTTATTTTGTGTGTACATGTACTATTTATTACTCAACTTGTAAAGTATGTTTTATCAGACACACCAGTTAAGATAGAATAAATTATCTACTTGTGTATAAAACTTGTATTTGTATTATTCCTCAGTTTTAATAAATTTTATTTATTTTTTCTTTATTTTGTTTTTTTTTCTTTGTCCTTTTTATTTTGGTAGTTTCACTCAATGTTCACTCAGTGTTTTGTTGGTAATAAATCACGATATTTTGATTGATTTGGCATTTCAATGCGATCTTGTGTCAAAAGTAATATTTGTTATAAGCATAACACAGGAGGCCTACAAAATTTGTAGAAAATCACAGAAACCGAGATATTTCCAAATGCTTTTGGTTTGCTACTCCAAATTCAACCTCAGAATTTCTCCATTACATCAATGTTAGTTTGTGCTTTTATCCTTGGTGTTTTGTCATATACTAATAAAAAAAAAACTGAACTAGTTTGGCATGTAGAAAATACAAATCTTGTCTTCCAAACAAATTTTTGCTCCAAGATTATGAAAAATTAGTTATCCACTGTTTGGAACCTTTGGTGTAGTAATGAATATTACTGGAGTTTTTTTCCAACATCAAATCGTTATTTTTAACACTTCGACAAGTGTTTTAAATCACCAAGTTATCACCATCAAGAGGAAGATTAAACTAGTTCCTCTTGAAGGTGGAAGATTGAACTAGTATAATCTTCCTTTTGAAGGTGATCACTTGATGATTGAAACATGTGTCAAGGTGTTAAAAATAATGGTTTGGTGTTGTGATAGAACTCCAGTAATATTCATTATGAAAAATGTTGATTTGTGAATATATTTTAATGAAATTCAGTACCAACGATTATGATTCCATAGAAGAGGAACTTGTGAATTTACTTCCTCAACTCTGAAGAGATTATTTAATTCTATGGATCCTCTATTCATACAATAGACTAATAGCAAGTCCTCCCAGACATCATGAAACAAAGAATGCTCATAGGAAACAAAACTTTTGAATTCTTGATCGCATTGTTTAGTGTAGTGTTAGGAGTGCTTTTGTTGTCTTGTATTTTTCGCTTGATAGATGTTAGATCAAAATATGTGAGAATGAGTTGGTTTCAGAAGTAAGTTCAAATGATTTTTTTAACATGAATTGAAGAGGTGAAATCATTCAGGAATTGTTTTTTGTTTTCTAATCAAGGTATTTTTTTGGCGTGACTTGTGTAAAAAAAAGCAAATATTGGATTTTGAATGTATTTATCAGTAATCAATTTTCATATCACCAGTGTTGGAACTGCAATACACATTCATTGGATTTTCCATAGATGATTTGAAGTTTTATCAGTTGATTTTTATCAACTGCATATACTATAATTTTGCCTGGGAAAGTATAAAGTATATCATGAAAACACTGACCCGTTGTTACTAGATGAAAATAATACTATCCAGGATAATAATTATACAATTTGCACAAATTTCATTCAAGACGTGTTTTGCTTCATCAGATATATACACGTGATGAAAAAAATATAAAATACATTCACTTTGAAAATTGTCTTTTTCTAAAAATTCACTTCCAAAATTAAAAGCATTGGTAATTCTCTAAAAGGTGGCAAGCATAGGTTTTCACATAATGTGAAACCAAAATTCAGGCCAATGAAAACCATACACAGGGGATATACCGGACCCCTTGTAGCTGCGGATCGGTCTACATTGGCATCAGACATAAAAACCTGCAGACCACGGCCGACAAATCCAGAAAACAGCTTCGAAATAATTGAATATTCTTATTTTAGTGTCATGTTGTTAAGAATGTTTTATTCTGTTAACAGTACCCTGTTGAACTACTTGTGGCATATATGGAGAAATGAACATTGAAGGCGTTCACAGATCACATAACACTTAAGTAAACTTTATACACAAATTTTGCAGTTAATGTGACAAACCACACAGAGCGACAGACCGAAAACTGAAATTTACTCCATGGTGAAACATTTACAACAGCTCAGGCTCTGTCAATACACATCAGCCTTCTAGGTTGAAGTGAATGCAATTTTACAATGAACATAAATTTAAGGATTCTAAGAAATGAGTGGATCAAAATTCTGACAGCCTATTAGGCCATATTTGAGACTCTGATGAACGGGAAGTGGCAACTAGATGATATCAGATGCCAAAAAGGTATAGATTTCATCAGTTTCACTAGGCCGGCTCTTGAATGCAACCTTTGAATTTTTCTGTCATAACATCCAAATGAGAAATCACTTTCTGTCTTTCTGCAAATTACGCAGACAACTCCGTAGACCTAGTCCAGAGCAAATATAACAATATTTTGAGAGGATGCAACAGGACCTATTATATAACAAAATGGACCGACGAAGCATGGCTAAATATGAACCCAACAAAATCGACCATAGTAGCATTCACCAAGAGGACTAGAGGAACTAAGGTCTCTACAATTCCCAGGTGAAGAGATACGATTTTTGTGGAAGGTTAAATATCTAGTCGTTCTTAGATGAAGACATACAATTGTCCTAGGAGATTAAATATCTGGGAGTGTTAATAAGTCCCAGGCTGACCTGGAATAAACATATCTATATGTTGGAAAAAGATTCAAAAATAAACCGAGCTATTATGGAAATAAACATCTGATCTGGAAATGTCTGAGGGAACTTGTGGGCAGGAATAAATTGACTCTATACTGGGTGCCAAATGATATGACGGAAAACAAAAAAGCTGACGAGTGTGCCAGATGAACATCATAGACTTTATATGTGGATCCTGAACCAGCTGTTGACGTACCAATATCTATGGTACGGTACTTTCCATTGGTGGAAAGTTTGTCATATTCTTCTAGACGTAATTTGGATTGTCCTTTGGGACATGTACGAATGTACATACATAGTACACAATTGTTGGAATGGGTGTCATGAAAAAAGTGGTACAAAAAGCAATAAGACCGTAAGGCTGCTGTATTTTCTGGAGACTTGGAAGAAATAGAAGGCTTTTGAAAAGCAAGAAAATACATTTTAAACCATAGTTATGATAATATCACCAAAACATTTCCAAATTTTCCCATGATATCTGTTAGTTATAAACGAACAATTGGGCTTTTGTAATTAGAATTTTGATAGTAACAATATTCTGATGTTTCATATAATATTGACACAGTAGTTGACTTAATTTCACCTTTTGAATATTTCAGTTTTAGGTAAAATCACGTTCCATACATATTATTATTATGAAGTTATAAAAAAAGCAGGGATACTCCATAAAAAACTGACAATTGTTCTAATAATTAGTAAAATGATGTACAAAACTCTGAAAACCCACTAAAATCAGTAAGTAGTAATTGAAAATTAGATGATTAAAGTGTTATGTGTACCTGAACAAGAATGATAAAGCCAGCAGGTAGGTACCTGAAATATTTTTTATTTAAATTATTGTTAGGAACTTGCCATAAAATAAAAGCCACAATTATTAAAATATCTCAATTTTCCTGATGAACTTCGTCGGAGCTTTTCATGGAAGCTTCGCTATTTTTGATATGAGTTATTCAAAAGTTTCTAAAAGCAAGGTATGGAAAAACACTTTATATGCAACTGTCAACTATAAAAGAATGCGACTAAATGTGAGCGAGTCAATAGTTGATTAATAGTGAGCGTTTCCAGCGCAGCATATAAAAAATGAGAAGACAAGGAGTGACTATGGGAGCAAACTGTTTTCAAACAGTAGCGCACACTCCTAAATAAAATGAGTGGGATATTGTGTGCTTTGTGGACTATTCTTTTATTCAAAAAGGAAAACTGAATTTGTTGTGTATAGTGTCAAACGAAAAACGTAGAGTTAAAGATGAATCAGTCACAGTTTTGTAAGGTATTTTCTTTCTTTTCATGAGATTATAGAACATCTTTTTTTTGGCTAACTGCGCCGTACGGAAGGAAAAGCCAAGATAATCTAGAGAGAGGGAGAACCTCTTTTTCAGACTGAATTTGATCTTTCATCTACCTCGTTCTCCTATGATAGCAATTGGAATATTGGTCACTTTTTTCATTGATCAATTCCTTACTGTTCTAAATAGGTGTGCAGAGGTACGTCATTTATCATCCCTGGGTAAAAATAGCGCATGGCACATTCCAAATTATTGTATAAAATTAGGTAGTATAATCACGAGTGCTCATATCAGATAAATTATACATCTGAAGATTATTACTATTATTAGTTTCTGAAATGAGGTTAATTTTTCCAGTTGAATTAAATTATGTATGAACCGGTCCCTAAGTATTCTAAAATGAAAATAGAAAATTCAAAAATCAGTTTCCGAGATTCTCAACACAAACTGATTTTTCATGTAACTTGAGCAACTGTTAAGTATAAATGGTACAACATAAGGTTCCATTTGAATCAATATGAGAAGTTATTTTCTCCAGTCTTTTAGAATGATATTTGTATGCATAAATGTTTCCCTGATTATGGTATTCTTAGCTATAAACTTATTATTTATGATGACGCGTTCTACGCTTTTTGTGGTCAGTTTTTTTAATTGAACAAATGAATTGTACACTCACTATATACAAGTTTTTGACAACATCTTTCTTCAGTGATTGTTTGGAAAATTATCCAACTATTGTAAGTGGGATGAGTAGAATTTAAAACCTCTGGCGTAAAATGAACTCGTCGAACACACTTTTTCCTCACCAGAACAAAAACAGCGTCTCTTGACGCACGGTTTGCTAACCAAGTAAGCATTATCAGTAGATGACTAAACTTATAACGGCTATGTTGATGTTTGTATATACATCTAAACTGATCATTACCTTGCACAATGAGGTTCATTAAATTAATTTCTAGTATTATCTTATTGTTCCTATTGTTATTTGCCACCCGACTGATACCTACAATACTCGTATATCTATTGAAAACACTTTCTTCCACCAGAACAAAAATACTGTTGAATTTCACTAGTTCGGACTTCCATTGTCTACTATATAAAATGATTTGAAATCCCTGAAACAACTAAAAAAGAAGAATTAAAAATGAATAGCTGGAAATAAGAATTATATTAACCAAAATAAACCTGAAATGAAATAATAGTGAAATAAAATACAAGTAAAAATAGAAAGAGAATAAAAATAAAAAGTGGAGCGATTCCAAGTCACGTTAGTTCACGACGTTTCAATTGTTCACGACGTTCACGTTTCGTTAACCAAGATAGCGGGGGTAAACCAAAAGAACAGTCTGGGATTTACGAAATATGCAGTGAGGAATGTGATAAAGAATATGTTGCTCAAACTAAGCGGACTCTAGGGAACATATTCTATTTCATAGGCCAGAAATGTCCAGTCCCGTTCAACATGACATAGAGAACGGCTACATAATAAATGAGGAATGCTTGAGACCACTACATTACAAGATTTAAGATGCCTTCAAAAGCTTAGAAATCATAAAATGTGGAATGAAACCTATGAATGGTGAAAAAGGTCCCGACACCCTCTGATCTAACTCTTACACAGCTAAAAAACAGGTAGAGATTAGGTATCAGTCAGGTAGAAAATAACAATGGGAACAATAACAAAATACTATAAATTAACTTAATGACTCTCATTATATGAGGTAGATGCACATCAGTTGAAAGGGTAAGGGAGCCAGGGTCCAACCTGAATGAAATGGAGACGCTTGGTCGGTAGATGCATATAAACTTATTTAAATACGGGTTAGAAATGATTTAGTCATCTCCTGATGATGCTAACTCAGTTAGCGTAACGCACGTCGGGAGACAGTATTTTTGTTCTGCTGAAGGAAAGTTTTTTCAATAGGTATATTGAAGGCGTAAAAAATTAAATATCATAACTTCGAGTCGGCTGTATATGCCTCAGTTGTAGTTCAAGGACTATAAATACTAATATTTTATTTTATTTTTGTATGAAGGAGGCCAGCAAATAGCTGTCGTGTCGGGAGGGAGTAAGATTCTTGCTACAGTTCCAGCCAGATCCGGCCAAAACATGCTGCTATTTCAAAGTTTCACCAACCAACATAGGAAAGGAGCCATCTCGGCTGTGAAATACTCTACCATTCAACCAATTTCTGGCATTTCTTCACAAAGTTTAGCTGGAGTGAGTGCTCAGCCTCCTGTGATTCTGCCATCAAATTCTGTTGCTACCGCAGTAGCACTAGGTCAGCCTTTGACATTGAAGAAACTTGGAGATGACCGAGATAGCAACGAACTACTCTTAACAATATCCCCTAAGAAAGACGAATCAAAAGATTCAAATGATATTCCACAACCTGATAGTAGCACAAGCATTTCCAGTGATAGTATTGATATTAAAATAGAACCAGATATTAAAATCGAGTCAGACGATTCTAGAGAAAGAATCTATCATCAGACATACCAAAAATCTGTAATAACAAATTCTGTAGGCACATCTGTTATAGCCACAACTTCTGCTGCATGTGTCAAAGACGAAAGCTCTTCCCAAAATATAATAAATATTATCCCCACAGATATTAGAGGTAAGGTGCCAGTTAATTAGAATTGTTTAATCAGTGAACTGAAACTTGTTTTTGCAGCTGAATCCAAATCTGGTGAAAGAATACAGTCAGTTTTGGTGACAGCGTGTTCTTCTAATGGACCTATGTTGTCACATATCATTCCACGATATAGGAAACCATCAGATACTGGAAGAACAAATAATAATGATTTGCCAAATAAAGAAGAATTTTTGCACAATGGAGAAAAGGTAATGTGTGAAGTCAAAGACGATAATATCGAGAAAATCGCACTTGTTTTTGCTTATAATTGACCAAAATTAATATATACACTTGTCACTAAACGCCATTAGTATTTTTACTTTGGATTCTAAAACTCGTTCATTTTCCGTCAAAATTAATATTTTCAATAGTATGGAAATAACTGCTTCGGTAAAAAAATCAATTACTTTAAATTTAAATGAATTTGTTAATGAGAAATCATATCCTGGCACTCATGTTACCTACCGACCGCCTTTTTTACATAAGAACGTTCGGTAATCAGGCTACCATTTTATGTTAAATTCAAAATGATAGTGAATCGTTTCAGACTCATTTTTCTTGCTATCAGCTTCTCCTATAATATACTCCTTAAAATTTTCAGAAATTGAGTAATTTAGATTTAGTGTGTCTCACAGAGGATTCTTATTGATGGAAGTTATTTATTTTCAGACGAATGGTGATCAGAAAAATTTCAGAACAAATGCTACCTATTATGTTAACAAGATGAAAAAAGTTAACTTGGATTCTCAAAAACTTGACAGTGAAATGCAAAAGCAAGCTGCGATAGAGAGGGAGCTAAGGCTCCAGAAATCCCTTTCTGAGGAATGTGAGGATTTGGGTGTAGATGAGCCAAGCACTAGTGATTTGTTTCCGGAAGCAGATTTACTCTTCGATTCAAATCATTCTCCATCATTTGATCAAACATCTCAAGACATTATCAAAAGGGCTCCTCAGAGTGGTGATGTTAAAGAGGAAGTGAAAGAAACAATGAACCTGTTCAGCGATGATGAAAATTCAAGTTCACTTCGCACAGATTTGTTTGAATACGTAGAGTATCAGACTGTTGAAACAGCTTTAGCAAGGCAGCTGATGAATGGAAACAATAGTGCCGAATCAGGTTCTTCTGGTTGTGAAGACAATACCCTTTTAGCAAAGTGTGCTACAATGTCAGAAGTTACTCTGAACTCGCCAATTTCTCCTGAGGTATACCAAGAAAGCAGTTTGCATAAATATAAATTCAAATATAGTAATAGGAAGAAAGGTGAAAAAATCAAGCAAAGTGACTTTGGTGGAGAAGTCGTTTCCAGTTCTGAAGATACACTGGGCAGTGCTGATTTGAGTCGACTTAACTGTGAAGAAGATAGTTTCAAAGTAGTACATGTGGCTATAACTAAAACAGACATCGTGAAGGAAGGAGAGACATGCGAATTGCACTGTGATGAAGATTTAGATTCTCCAAGTGGTAGAGGAGCTAGAAGAAGTGTAAGAAAACTGTGTTCTTGTTGTAACGGTTCACAAGATGGTAACATAGCAAAAAAACGACCTCAGACTTCCAGACCTCATACACCGGCGGTTCCGCACAAGAAAGCCTTTCTTAACAAGAAAAGATAGTGCACCTTTACATTTTAGGCAGTTTTAATTGTTGGTTGTTTTTGTTAAAGAGTTGGGTCGCTAGTCACACTCTAGTACAAATATCTGTATTAACAGCCGGTGTGTTAGTCTGAGAGACTTGTATAGTAATTGCTACGTTTGCAATCTTTTAGTACCTCTATTTGTAAATTTTCCTCGTATATGTAAAATATTTAAATTATATGTGCAGTTTGTCGTTGTATATAACTAATTTAATAGATAATTTATTACATATGAACGGACTTGGTCTGTCACCTAAGCATTATGCTGCTCTTTCATTGAAAATGCAATAAGTTACACATCTAAGTATGTGTTCTTCACTATAAAAATATTAATGTAACTCCATTACTTCATTAGTTCATGGAAGAATCCATCTTACATCCAAAAATATTTATACTACTCCGTGTTAGGAATCACACGTTAAAAGGTAAGATCTCGTTAGTCCTTAGCTCGCATAAGTTTCTCAACTTCTGAGAGTTGTTGTTCGTATGGGGGCGACAGCTGATTAACGGAAAAACAGATTTTAAACAGATTTTATTTTACAATTATCTTTTAGCTTTCATATACAGTCATGTTTTCAATGTTTCATTCATCTTTCTGAGGTGTCGAAGTTATTCTCAGAGAAATATTTTAGTGGAAAAACTACACAGATTTATTATAACAGTCTTTTTATTCAAAGAATGTAAACTTTCACGGCCGGAGATATAACTGTATGAAAGCTAGGTTCCGGGTATTTTGGCCGTGGTCTGCAGGTTTTTATGCTGCTGTATCCATTATCAAAGGCGATAGTCGCAGTGCTCGAGTTGTTGTTTCCGTTCCGAACACGGTAACTATGATGCTCATATTTGACTCTGGTTTTATATTATTATTAGTGGGCGTGCCTTCGAGTTGAAAAAAAAAGCAATAAATATCGATAAAATCTGACAACCTGTCGTTACAGATAAACAAACAAGGTCAGGTAATCCATTTAAGAGAAACCAAGACACGCCCACTAATAATAATATAAAACCAGAGTCAAATACTATCATCGTAGTTACAGCGTTCGGAATGGCAACAACAACTCAAACACCAAACGGGGCACTGCGATCGTTACCACATCGCCTTCGATAATGTCTACCACAGTAGTAGACGAAACGTCAGACATGAAAACGTGCAGACCACGGGCAAAAAAACCCTCTCAATTCATTTTCTTTAGATCTTGGCTGATATCACTTCAAATTCCGTATATACCCGGGATTTTTGAATGTTGGTATACCAATTTTGCTGTGAAAAAAGTTGTTATGAAATAAACATATTTTGGTACTGTTTGATGGATTCTCTTTGTCTTTGAAATAAAAAAAACTCTCTTTTATACATTATTTGTCATTATTTTTAATAATAGTATGTTAATTTTTTTTTAATGTTGAATTACATAACATTTTATACTGTCATTTGTATCGCATGAAAATTTGTTTTCACTTCATAGTTTTTTCATGCATATTCAATCACTTTTTCAAAAATATATCAAAAACTTTGATACTCATTACAAAAAGTAAAACAGAATGTATCATCATGATTGAAATTTACGAATTATTCATGTGTTTTATAGAGAAACAATCTTTATGCAAGAGGACAGTCGCACTTTTGCATGAATTGGTCTTTTTATTCTAAAGTACACTGGCATATAGCTGAATTATTTCAGCGTTGATAATAATAATTAGTTTTATTTTTCAAATGCACTGAGGAATTTCCAAAATTACAATGCAGTATAATACCTGAAGAAAAAATAGCTACTTACTTATGTTTGGCAAATGAAAAGTATAATAAAGTAGAGGACATATAGATAATTTTCTTACTGCAAATCTAACTTGACAAGACTATAATAAATAAACATATATGTTACAATATGACGGATGGTAGAATATAAAAATTTTTTTTCTAGAAAACGCCTGTTCGTTTTTTTGAATTATTAGCGAAACGTCAATATTCGAAAAACACAGAACGGATTTTGACTTCAGAAAAATTCCCTACGTGTGTGTTGGTCGTTGAATAACATTTTAAAATCAAATATTGTAATGAAGAATAATATATTTCATAAATCTGCCTTGTTCGAATGATGACCTATTTATTTTGTAGAAATTCATATTAAATATAGGATAAAAAAAATAACGTCTGTCGAATTTCTACTCAGATTTTTATTTGATAAATTCAATATAATTACATCATCTACTAGTAAAAATAATTTGGAGAATATGTTATTCAATGCAAAACCCAAAAGGGGTAAGAGGAAAAAATCGGGCATATAGAGACTAGAATGTGGTGACTGNTCAACATTATTTTCTACTCCGAGAAACTTAAGAAGCAAGCCAAAATTTTCAAACGAGTAACACATTTTTTATTCACATCATGTGTTGTTGAAAGTGATTCTAACTCTAATATTCAAAGTAAAAATGTCAAAAACAAACTGCAGCTTTTTGACTCGTTTTATTCCGTTTCAATAAAGTTTAAGAAAAAAATCATTATGTTAATGTGTATTTTTTCCAAGATTATCTGTCAGTAATATGATAAAAATATATGATGATAATAATAATAATAGTTATATTCAAACTGTAAATTCAACATTGTAACTGATAATATGAACAATTACATTAGATACATTCCAGTGGCATAAGAAATGAGAATATAAATTGATGGATGTAGCCGTTACTACGTGGTAGGAAATCATAATGAAGACATTTTCAAACTTATATATGAATAAGTTTGAAAATGTCCTTATAGGACGAAACTGCAGTAACGTTAGTTACAAATAAAAGTGGCAAAAAACATAGAAAGTTTCAATTTTCTTTTCTTCAAAATGAGAATATATTTGGATAATAACATGAAAACGTGCTGTCTAAGTATGTTTTTTCCATAGATTTTCTAGTACTAGATTGTATATGTTTATTCTCTTCCTTTCCCTCCCAGTTATGTTGAGAATAATGATTTTTTTTCTATAACATTCAACTGAAAACACCATTTTAAAACACAATACACTTTCATTTCAGAATTATCTTTGAACATGAATTGAGGTATTCATTACTTCTATATAGTTAGCCATTGAGTTTCATAGTAAACATTTATCATTTGCAATACTCCAAACGTTTCAAGAAGACTTCTAAGTAAATCCTTTTGGAAGAAAAATCGATAAAATGTGCCAATTTAATGTAATAAATATATGTATATGAAGTACTTTGCATGTCAAATATCAGGTTGTCATGCAGAAATTTGAAATTTTTTTATTAGAGATGTAGAAGTTCCCTCCAAGTAGTATCAATGAAGTCCAGTAGAAAACAACATTTGACGTTTTGGTGATTTTTATTGAGAACTTTTCATAAAATACAGATCAAAGAACAGTAATGAAAATCTTATTCACTAGACAAACTACTTAATTTCATAATAACAAGTATAACGAAAACATTTATAAACGTGTGAAACATTATTGATATCAATAGACTTTGTGAACATAAGTAATGAATAAACATGAACAAATAAGCATGTTAGAATCAAAACAGAAATTATCATTTATTTGGACTTGGCAACGTTTCCATTCCTAGCATAAATATGCTCCATTCGTTCTTGAACTTTCACTATGTCTAGATCTGGGCGTGTAGTGTAGGCATACTTAATGTCTAACACGGTTTTATACGCTTTCAAAGCATCATTGAATTTTTTTTCCTGAAACATTTTGTCTCCATCTTTATAATAATAGTCGATGGCCTGGAAATAAATATGAATGAATCATTTTGGAACAGAGAAAAGGAATTCGAAAAGGGAATTTTTTATAAGAGAGATAGTTTTCGGAAAAAAGCTTTTTGGCTTTCTATTTCTCCATCTTTATACAAACGAATGTGGAAAACTTCCAAAGAGTTTATTTTAAACTTGACTTCTATTTTCCTTCATTCAGAAGTTTCCCACTCTTTCTGTCATATAAAGATGAAGAAGTAGAATGTCAAGAAGCCTTTTTGCGAAAAAGTGTAGAAAAAAGACGTCTGTAGCAGTTCAAAATTCATTACTCGTATACATGGATAATGGTGATTTCTGCAGTTTTATGAGTCACATCCTAACACGGAAGAAATTAACAAATTTTATAAAGTATTTCATGGCGTCAAAACTTAAAAAGAAAATAAAATATCCATAAGCAGGTATCTGCAGGAATACATGCTATTTTTTGGAGGATATCCTTCACCAACCTGTACGTACACATGAGGACAAATATTGTCAAATATTATATTATCCTACAGAATAAGTTATCATAGTAAGAAACATTGAGTAAAATTTCATTCAGTATCCCTATGAAGTATCCACTTTGTCACAATTATACATAATTCTTTATAAAACTTTCATTCTGAATTAATGAAAATGACTAAATTATTTCAAATAGAGTCTGTCGTTGTACTCAGCGGTAATTGAAAGAATTGCTAATTGGAAATAAGATTTGAGATAAAAATATGCCAGCACAAAAGAAAAACTGTGTGCAGCAAAATGAAAAAACTTTTGTAATTGAAGGTTTCAAATCCAATAAACAAATAACAAAAAAAGGAAAGGAAAAAATTCATAGAAAATTTTGAAAATTGAAAGCTGATCAGATTAGTATTACTATTTTGGTAATGTTTTGAACATTTTCAAATGTTCATGGTCTCCTGAAAATACTCTTCAAATAAAAATTGAAGCATAAGTATCTAATGCAAATCATGTATCAAATGCCGAAATAAAAATGAGCATTATGTAAAGATCTACTATGATAAACATTTTCTTGTACTACACCTCATAAATGCAAACTGAAAACACAGAAGAAGATGTAAAGGAGTTATTAAAAGCGACTCCCACAAGACTTAAAGAAATGTACCTTAATGAAGTGTTCTTTCAGTTCAGATTAAAGTTTCATTTCACTATTTTGTTTAATTTTTTTTATATTAAATATACTTGTCAAAAATAATTTTTCTATGTTGTATAATTCCATATCCATATTTACTTGTTCTATAATACCAAGATTGATATATGCTTTCAGAAAATTTTCTGTTCAATATCGAAAACAAATTATTAATTGAAGAATAAAAAATAACAAGAGAAGACAGGATTAAGTTGTAATCACATTTTCTACTGCATGTAAATGCACCGAGTCTTTTGAAAGTTTCTAACTTCAACTTGAAACAAGTGAAATAGGAAGTATAACTTTATACTCGGACATATACCTAACTATTAGACTCGGGCGACAAAATAGAGAAGTGCATAGGATTACTGATTCGTTTCAAATTCATTCATAGTTTTTATAATTGTTTTCATGAGATACCATGGTAGTACGATATTTCAAACTGTGAAATGTTTCAAAGCATTATAAGATGCTGATGCTTAAATTTATTCCTTTCCACTTTTTAGTTGATTACACTTTTACTTATGACATCGTGACAAACAGTAACCATGGTAGTTCAAAAAAGGAACTGAAATTTTCCACTATCAAAACTATGAGTACGTTTCAAAATGGTGAACCCATGAAGTTTTTATGTTACCTCAGTAAATTCTCTAATATCAGCATCTTTAAGTTCTCTGTGGCATTGCAAGCAAAGTCGCGGTCTTCTGGTACGAGTTACAGAAAACACGAAACTACAATTGAAAGTTCTGCAGGGAACCCTTATAACTCTTTCCAAACTTGAAGCCATAGGCCATCTCTCTACGCACGGTGGGCAAGCACATTCAAAAAAAAAGTCCGTCAATAGGGTTTGCTGTCTTTCTTTCAATTTCATGAATAAGTAGTTCACGCCATAATTGTCATAAATGATCTCTCCAGCCTTTATTGGTTTTATGGTTCTCACCAACATTCTTGCTTTATCATTGTACCTGTAACATTCAACATACATTGAATGGCTTGTTCAATTGTATAAAAACATATGCTCCTGTTATAAAATGGACAGAAATTTGAACAATGTTTCATTCCCCACTCCAATGTTCCTACCCAAATGTTCAACAAATTTCAGGATGTTAAAAAATGTTACTCGAACCATAAACTCTTCAATGAAAAACCCAAAATACCTCATTAGATTTTGAAATTGAATCGTTTTATGTTTATGTTTTGAATCTTCCATATCATATCTTAGTGAAATATGAAGTTTTGTCTGTGAACACTGTCTAACCACTAAAAAAATAATTCAGATTTAAATATATAATTTTAGGGATGATGCATGTTGTATAGTTTTGGACCCAAGTATTGATGACATTTCTGGCCCACCGATTTATGCATACGAGGACATTGGAACTGTTTACGATGCCTAGTACTATAGTCATGGGTAAGTGTAATAGCTTGTATTGTTTCTCTCTTGGAGACTGTGTTTACGTTTGTTTTCGACGAAGTCACTCCCTCTAAACTGTTCTTGGAGACAAGTACCTTAAGCGCTTCTCTGACGGTCTTCACTTTCTCCATGTTGAGTGGCAGGGTGAGGAAAGGCTGGGTATTCTCAGTAATGTGGTCCACGTTGCGATGAATGCTCGACTTTAGTTGCCACCTGAAGATGTCACTTATCGCTGTATTGGTGAAGTCGGTCCTTCTGGTTGGATGTCCTTTATTTTTCGATTCCATTATGTTCCATACATTATTTGAATCATTGCTCAAAGCAGAGTCAACGAGAGGTTTTTCATCGTCAATATAATATTTAACCAACTCATTTAGCTCAAACATTTCATCATTGAGTCCATTCAAAAGAAAAGCTAGACACTCTAAGTATTGGATATAATTTCATTTTCTGTTTCAAAATAAATTATGGTCTGATCTGAGTAATTTTAATATTTCAAAAATATGGTTTGTTGCATGGAATGGTTGGCTTTTATGTTGTTGATAGTAGTATTTAGTAATTATATATTCAAATAGGAAACATTCAAATATTTAAGAAATAAACAACCATCAGATAAGGCTACTGAAATACGCGATCACGTTATTTGTAAATTTCTTACCCTAGAATCAGCCATGAAACAGACAATGTAAAGTTGAGAGTGAATATGAGAAACATCAAATGGGTGAGTAAATGAAAATCACTGGCGAAGGTTTTTGATGAATGATTTTTCATGTTTTCAAATAAAGCCCAACTCGCATCGTTCAACTTTTCGTAATGAAACACCATCGCTGAATATCGTCATTGTCGTGCGTTCGTCAGTGACGAATCGTGTGAAGAACGACCAAATCGAATGTGACTCCAAAAAACATCGATGATGATGAGACAGAAACGACACTTAGCATATCACAGACTGCAATACATTCGATATTGCATGAACATTTGGTTATGGAAAATATCCAATTTGACCGAAATTCAAAAAAGGCAAGAAAATGTTCAAAAAAATCACCTTAGGAACTGCAAAGTATACAGCAGTGTTACAGGTGAAGAAACGCGGATATATTATTTGAACTGGAAACTATATAAGCAAATATCCACTGTTTGAGTATTTCCAGATGAACCGAACCCACAAAAGTTGTTTGTTCCTTCACGTAAGGAAGAACAATAAAATTTCGAAAACACAAATGATTTTCATAAGTTACTTGGAAATCATTATAACTGATAATCTCATCATTGTTTTTGATGTGAAATATTTCTCCAAAAAAAACAATTTCTTTATTTCGTATATAAGAAATAAACCAAAATTCACTAATATTGCAAATAACTGAAAAAAGTGAAGATATTGAATGGCTTATTAGGGTTAAATCCAAAAGATGATCAAGCAAGGATCCCCGTGCTTGTACGAGTATTATATCCCAAATTCAGATATCAGATAAGTAGCTATGGATATGGATATGTTTCTGATGTCACATTTTCTAAATGATAAAAGTCAAAGTAATTCATTCTTCACTGTAAACTCCTTTAGAAATATAAAAGTATCCAAAAGTTTGTTGGACTAGTCGTAAAAATTTCATCTGACAAAAAATATTAACATTATTTATTGTGCAGTTGAAAGAGTTCATTCCAGGTCCCACTGATCTGAAAGTGGAAGGATTATTTATATTTATTTCATTATTGCTAGTCTCAATAGATTTCAATATTGTATTGGAAATGTTGATTTTACTTTGAACCGAACTTTCAATGTAGCCTTTCGCCACTGAATTGAATTTCCAGCCACCATGACGTTTTAATGCAGTAATATCACCACCCGCATCAAATAACACGGTTGCAAATGTCCTTCAAAATCAATGCCCTGTATATAAATTCGGATAAGGCTTCTCTAAATCACCAAATTTATTAATACCAATATTTTGAACTCTGTATTTTCCATTAAAATAATAAACGAAAAAAGATGGGGTGGGCAGAATATCGGCCGTAGAATCTTATATTTTTTATTCATTTCGTAGTATTTGCCGAAAATTGTAAATATTCGTTTTACTTTTGTTTTAGTTTTCAGCATATTAACAATTAAGATTCCATTCATATCTTTGACATTTTCACATTTTAGGTCATGTAGTCATGCCTTCGACATGCTTCCATTATTCCAACAATCATTGCTACCTAAAACAACACAACAAATTGAAAAAATACAACTGTCTGTAAATTTGATGAAATATATCATGCATAAGTCGAATGGAAAATGTAATCATGACAAAATTTTTCAAAATGCAATGTTAGGTAGATATTTTTTCACATATTACACTGAAAACGATTTGATCTTCACAAACTTTATTATCAAAAATATCACATGTTTCGCTGTCACAACAGCTTATTCGTAATGAATAACATATATAGAAGTATGTTATTCCCTAAGAAATAGCTACTTAATAAAAGTATGTTATTCAGTATAAAAAAACTACTGTGACAGCGAAACATTTTTGAAAATGAAGTTCAAATTGTTTCCGTCGTAGTTTGTAAAACTACTACGGATCTTCATCAAATAACGGCCGTGTCAATCAGAAAAAAAAAAGTTAGGTGGATACTTACTTTTATAAATAAAAACTTTTCATCGGGTGCTTCGTCGATAAACGTTTGTTCAGGTGAAAATATTTTTGATTTTTTCGAACTTATCTTTCTTTACGACCGGTTTCGGTTTATTAAACCCTTCTCAAGTAAACTGACGCATTTTGACAAACACATCTTGTAATATACAATGATACAATGTCTTTTAGGTACTGCAGTAGGTACCTGAAATAACAAAAATGTTTTCTGAATTATCAATATGTTATCTAAAATACCAATTATAATTATTTAACTTCTATAACATCTCAAAATTACTGATTATCGATCCAAAAACACCTCTCGTGGATTGCTCCAAATACCAATAGATCTTAAATTAGTTGTGGAAATTCACAAAATCAAAAGGGAAGAGATGCATAGTTCTAGTAGGTCACTGAGGGTTTTGAAATTGGGGTTTTTATAAAATGTATTAATTTCCAGTGCTTCCAACAAAATCATCTTCATTCCCTTATTGCACGAATGGAGACTTTTACTGTTTTCTTTATTGTTGTAGATGTCCATATATAGCAGATCAGTTAAAGAATCAGCTATATATGGACATCTTTAAGAAGCAAACTTCACAATAAATAAAAAAAACATGAAAATTCTTCATACGTTTAATAAGGGACAGGAGATTGGGAGCATTGGAAATGAATAAATTGTATAAAAACCCCAATTTCAAAACCCTCAACTATGTTGGTAGTTGAGCAACTAGAACTATGCAGCTCTCTCTTTTTGAATTTGTGAATTTTGACAACTAGTTTGAGATCCATTGGTATTTGGAACAGTCCAAAGTAGTGCTTTTGGATCAATAGTCAGTAATTTTGATGTTATAGAAGTTGAATAATAATTGTTTTGGTATCTCAGATAAGGTATTGATAATTCAGTTAACATTTTTGTTATTTCAGGTAACTATTGCAGGTACCTAAAAGACATTGACTGTATCATTGTATATTTAAGAATTTGTTTGTCAAAATGCGTCAGTTTACTTGAGAATGTTTTAATATACCGAAAACGATCCTAACAAATAAAAAATCACAGTAGAAATTAGACAAAAGTTACTTTCTTTATCCTATATTTCTCAAATCTGCCCTAATTTCATAACTATGTTCAGCATATCAATTCACAATACCTTTGCGAAGTATGAAAATATTAGCAAGGATACTCAATATCCTTGACAAAAGGCAAAAGAGATTGGCTAAGACTAAGTATCTGTCCTTAATGAACTGGATATTTACTGATAATAGCTAGTAAGTGTTTGCTGA